CTAAATGCTTACAGCTGTCCTTTTCAATGAAGTTTTCATGCTCCCTCATAGTCATGCATGTCTGACCTTTTCCAATTCCTTACTTTCACTTGCAACCCACCACCTATTTATCCTCTTTCCCAACAGCTATCTTCCCCAGTACCCCCGTGGTGTGAACCCTCTGGTTCTCGAAATTGTCAGGATCGAACGACCACACAGCACGAGGACCACTCTTTTCTTTTCCACAGTATATTGACTTCGATCGACTAATTAACAATGAATGAACAAACATTAAAACCACCAGGTAGTTATAGCGTGAAAATGACAGTGTGTACATGTATGAGAAAAGCATATACATACAACATACAACTACAGCGCACACAGCAAACCGCACATAGCGCCTGTAGCGTATACCACGTCGTAAACCTCAGCGGTACGGCGGAGTCGGGATACAACTGCATTGAAACGAACACAATGTCACAGGCGAGAAGGCCTTTCACTCTCGAGAACTTGTGGTTTCGCAACATTCTCCCTACCAAAGGGCTTCTCACCGCCGTACAACAACTCATAAGTCAAAAACGACCGGGGCTCTGACTACACGCCCAGAACGAGTCATCCACTGCTGTGTGGCCATGGTGGAATATTACGAGTGCTCACCATTTCTGCCAACTGAGCAATGGTCTGCGGACTGGCGCACTTCAGATCAAGCTCTAACGTTGGCTTCACGAGAGCACATACCGGAATGACTGCGGAGCTACCCAGAATCGTGATAGCGAATTTGTCCATCCGCTGTTGGGTTGATTCCGCACCGAACGGCTTCACCTCAACATTCTCAACTCCAACGTGCTCTGCATCGATTGCGGACACCGATGCTGCAGTCACAAATGACGCCTTGGCACCCGAGTCCAGCAACACGCGAAGCTTGCCGCTGTGGGATGTCACACACGACACGGTCACTGGACCACTGCCTCGTGGGGCGGACGCTGGACCCGATAACATACATCCGATTTCCGTGTTTCACACAGTCTCGCCGCTCACTTCTTCCTTGCTAACCAGTATCGCCCTTCTCATTTCCTTAGCTTCTACGCCTTGCGCTTCCACGTCTTGCGCCTCTAGGTCTTGCGCCTCTACGTCTTGCGCCTCTACGTCTTGGGCCTCCACGTCTTGCGCCTCTACGTCTTGCGCCTCTACGTCTTGTGCCTCTACGTCTTGCGCCTCTACGTCTTGCGCCTCTACGTCTTGCGCCTCTACGTCTTGCGCCTCTACGTCTTGCGCCTCTACGCCTCTACGTCTTGCGCCTCTACGTCCTTCGGCGGAGACTCCAGCTGCTTCTGAGCGTCTCCGACCGATGTCGCCATGCACTGCACCAACGCAGTGGGCCTTGGATCTGATCCTCCCACTGGCTTCACATACTCCTCTGACCGCTGCTTGTCTGTAAGCAAAGTCTTCCATGCCTTGTCCGGCGTCCTTCTGAGCGAGGCAAGCAAATCTCGCTTTGCTTCCTCATATGTACTGATGGCGATGCGTTCGTTCATCTTCTTGAGCTTTTCGTTAAACTCTGTGCGGAGCGCACCCTCTTGCCGTCTAGCACTGCGCTCTTCAAACTCCTCGCACTGTCGGAGCCTCTTCTTCACATGTTCCCTCAACTCATCTCCTTCCAATCCTAACAGAATTCCATTGGCAATAAAACGGGCTTCAATGATCCATAGTTCCTGTGCCATGCTCGCTTCGTATCCTGGCGTGGTCGCCATATGTTTTGAACCCTCTGAGATTCTCGAAATTGTCAGGATCGAACGACCACACGGCACGAGGACCACTCTTTTCTTTTCCACAGTATATTGACTTCGATCTACTAATTAACAATGAATGAACAAACACTAAAACCACCAGGTAGATAGCGTGAAAATGACAGCGTATACATGTACATGTATGAGAAAAGCATATTATACATACAACATACAACTACAGCGCACACAGCAAACCGCACATAGCGCCTGCAGCGTATACCACGTCGTAAACCTCAGCGGTACGGCGGAGTCGGGATACAACTGCATTGAAACGAACACAATGTCACAGGCGAGAAGGCCTTTCACTCTCGAGAACTTGTGGTTTCGCAACAACCCCTTTCACGCCCACTGCCTGCATCTCTATTCAGCGTTTTCTTCTTCTCCGTATAACCAAATGGCATTCCTTGTGCAATGACCCGTTCTGCTGCCCCAGCACACGTCTCCGTGTGACCTTTCTTCTGCTGCTCTGCGTATCCCCTGGCCATAGGCTAGCTCACTTACACTAACAGTTTCCGGCTCACCCTATAAAAGCTGCTATCACCGTTCACTTCAGTCAAAGTTACAATGTAGTTCAATTCAGTATTCAGTTTAGTTCAGTACTAAAAAAAATCATTAGTGATGATAATTATCAGTGTGTTCACTGAGAGTGAGACCCGAGTGCATTTGCCTCCGAGAGAGACTGCGGCCCCCAACACTACTACATGTATAGGCTAATTAGCTAACAAGGCCACACCGTGCCATGAAGTCGATATACACTACAGACATTCGACCATGGCCTACACCAAGGAGTCGTGAAAGCTTTTCCTGCTACTACCATGTCCATTTTTTATTACTAAAGTGCACAGCCCACATGGTCCGGCAGAGAACGGAATGGGAAGACAGAACCAAGGGGAGGACATGACAATACAGCGGGAAGCCATGGTCTATCCGAAAACGAAGATCGAGCCGGCCTCGGTGTGAACCGATGACTGTACTCACATGCACACACACACACACACACACACACACACACACACACACACACTTGTACTTGTTGCTCACTGCCAAAACTGGTCACGTGGGTCTCCCCGGGAGAGGGGAGAGAGACTCAAGAGGAATCTTGGAAAAATGACTCAATTGGCTATTGAACCGCCCAACGACCGACATCCCCTGAAATCCCCAAAACTCTGGGTGGACTTGAAAATGATCCCACTTATGGGCTCACCACACCTCAGCAAGTGGGTGAGGACAAGGTGCAGAAAAAGGATTGACGGCATCAGGGTATCCGTCCCGGGATCCAACTGCAGTTACAGTTACCCCTGCCCCCAGTGAAGGTAATACTTGCAACTAGTGTGGGTGGCTAAATCAGAGTGGATCTGATATAAGCTTCACTAGCACCGTTGATTACACAAGAGTTAAAGGGGAAGTTAAGGCAAAAATTAAAATTTCACCAGTTGTAGTCTTCGGGGTGCTGAGTCGAATGGTCTTGGTCCGAGAAAGCTGAGACGCTCCCTTCCTACTTGAATCCCAATCGAACTCGCGCACTTCCACCGAAACTGGGTGACTGCGCCCTACGAGATGGGGATTTGTACGCAAAATGTCACTAAAAGCGCCATTTCGTTCTTATAAAAGCACGGATGACCGCGATTGGCCCATATGTTGTAGTCTTTTGGACGCTGAGTCGACTGGTTTTGGTCCGAAAAGGCTGCGATGCAGCGTTCCTCCTTTATTCCCAATCGAACATGGTTGAAGAAGCGGTCACGTGCTCCTGGGTGCCAAAATCACCTGGTCACCACGCCAGCAGGCGACAACTTTCACACCAAGGTTCAACTCGAGTGACAGGACTGCACCCAAAAAAGGTCAAAACAGGCTGTAAGTTGTACCCTGCAGGCACGGTGACCAGCTGACTGGTGTACGCAGGAGCACGTGACCGCTTGTTCAACCATGTTCGATTGGGAATTAGGGGCGAACGCTGCATCGCAGCCTTTTCGGACCGAAACCAGTGGACTCAGCGTCCAAAAGACTACAACATATGGGCCAATCGCGGTCATCCGTGCTTTTATAAGAACGAAATGGCGCTTTTAGTGACATTTTGCATACAAATCCCCATCTCGTAGGGCGCAGTCACCCAGTTTCGGTGGAAGTGCGCGAGTTCGATTGGGATTCAAGTAGGAAGGGAGCGTCTCAGCTTTCTCGGACCAAGACCATTCGACTCAGCACCCCGAAGACTACAACTGGTGAAATTTTAATTTTTGCCTTAACTTCCCCTTTAATCTAGCCAGAAGCAGTCCATGGTTAACAGGTATGTATACTTCAAACAGAAAGTATATGAACCCTGGAACCAACAAAGGTGGCAGGTACAACATTACACCTTCAAGTAGCCGAGCCCGTTGGCAACAGATCCAACACAATCAGGCATAAGTGTACCCACCAACCGAACTAGCTGGCACACACACACACACACACACACACACACACACACACACACACACACGCACACACACACACTGCAAGTGCTGCAGATGGCTCGTGGGCTACTGTAGTCGTACAGCCTACAGGCAGTGTGGATACGACGTAAAGATAGTATGTTAGGCCATGGTAAAAAATAAAGTTGATTCTCAGGTCATGAGCCTGTGAAAATCGGTGCGAGCGAGCGATTTTTTAATTTTATTTCCCACAATTTTTTTTATTTCCAAAGATAGGGTCACAAATTATGTACATGGCCATATATGGTCACATGTTCATAATATTCAGGCCAGGAACGGATAATTTTTACCATGGCCTTATGTCAAGAGCACTTGACATACAGTCATGCAGGTGACGCTGTTTCAGACGCGCCAACCGCGGTGCTCAAGTCGTCCATCTCCCAACGGAAAGCTGTAACATTTGCAAACTAACTAACGATGCTGCTTACACTTACACTTACAGATGATTGAAGCGATAAATTTAGAACTACAGAAATGATCCCATGCGTAGAAGATGAGGGTGGACGTGTGCGGCGATATAAGAAATTCGGGTGGTCATGGAACGTGCCTACTTACGATCCATGGAAATCCCTAGCTGTTTACCAAAGGTCGCAGTTCCTTCCTTCCGTGGTGTCACTCACCATGCATGCACCCTACGGCTACACGTTTTGTCAGCCATTGGCCCATGGCTGGGCAAGCATAAGTCCATCCAGCTGTTGGTTTGCCCAGCGTAATGATTAATGGCTAATAAAGGCCATGTCCAGGGCAGGGGTGTCCCATCAGCACTCCCCGGCTAGCTAACAGTTCTGTTGTGACGTCGACGCTAGAATCAGAAAACTCTCACCCTGAAGCTCGTGATAAAGGCTCCCGTACTGGAGCGAGATATCCCAGAAGAGCGGAATAGACTTGCACAACACTAGGTAAACAAGCTGTGGCAAGGTTCACTTCGTCCTTACTTCTCCACCACAGTGAGACACGAGAATGGTTTGCTGTCGAGCATCGCTTCCAACCGACGCTGTAGAAAATAGTCTGTGCAATCTTTTGTGCAAAGCCTGAGCGTGAGGTCGTTGTCATCCGATCCTCCAAGGCAATAGTTTGTCCGTTCCTCTCACTCTCAGTATCATCATTATTCTTGCGCCACTACACCAAGTGCTGGTCCGTGTTTCAAGCAGTAGGCCCGTACCGTTGGCGTTGACCACTGAGTTACCAGCTGACGCGACACAAGCAAGTAAAGCGGAGACGGGGCCGGCATGGCATTCTCGTCCGGCAGCGGCAGCAGCAGTAGCTGCGCGTGCGATACCGGCGTCTCATCCAGCGACTGCACGGACTGGGCTGTGTCGGACGTCGAACAGCCAACCGGCGGCGCTACCACGTCCATGATTGGGCGCGATGCGTCAGTTTCCAGGGCAGCGGCGACAACCAGTAATGGCGGACCTGTTGTAGCGGACCAGGACGACGAGGAGCAAGATGATGGGTACAAGGCCAGCGAATCCGACAACGAGTCAGACAGCGAAGGCCCGTACACGGACGAAGAAAGCGAAGAAGAGGGAGAGCCGCCCGACCTGAGGCCATTGAGGGCCGGCTCTCGTCACTTGGCGCACGCTTTTCTGCAGCAGCTGAAGGAAGACGCTCCTCACCTCAAAGAGGAGGCACAAGCCCAAGCGGAGGGTAAGAAGTCACACGGTCAACATTGTACATGTGTAGCTGGTCGTGTACGTAGGTTGATGTATTGCGTAAACTAGTATTTCCTCGCATAGTCCGAGCTAGAGGTAAAGGAGCTCGGAGAAACGGCTGAGGAACACGTAATCTGCGCCAGTAGTTGGCGCGTTTGACCTGGAGTGGACGTGAGGATTTGTGTCCACCGCGCAGCTGAATACCATCTGGGTCAAGTAATTAATTTCTTGGCCATGGCACAGGTGGGTTTGTCCGAATAGACGGCCCCGCAAGGAGAACCACCATTGCTGTGCCGGCTTAGCAGAGCAGAAAGTCGGCAAAGACGTAGAGAGTCTACATGTTTGTCGGATTCTTCACTGTTGTAACTGCTGCTACTGTTGTGGACATGGAAATCCGGTCGCACGTCTAGGGGCCCCAGGGCACTGGCCATGCAGCCGTGCATAAGCGGTACACACATGCATTGTGCGCTGCAGCGCCCTGGTCGCATCGGATCAACATGACTTGTGCACTGCACGCAGCGTTCTGTACGCGTTGAGGGCATACCAACAAGTTAGAAACAACCCATCGACTGGATTTCCATGTCCGCTACAGTACATGCTGCACAGGGGCATGTATACAGACAGTGCTACTCACTGAAATCCAGTCGCGTCACTCAAGTGCGCGCCGGGCATTGCGCACTTCTACTAGACCTGCGAACACTGACTGGGCTGCGAAATGGTGCAAGGGCGCAAACTAACTCGAGTGATGCGACTGGATTTCATTGAGCGGCACTGTAGTTCATGCCAGTTGCTGTTGCTATTGCTGCCTGTGATGGTAATCTGGTGATCTGGTGCGGATTGTGTGGATTGTGTGTATGCCAGTGATAGAGCAATGCCTCAAGGACATGTACGGCTTGGAAGACAGCCAGGATGAGGACGACAGCGCTGAGCAGGCGACAGCCGCGGAGAAAGATCACCATGAGTCCACCGCGGCCACCACCGCCGCCGGAGGTGACGGTGATGATGACGACGATGAAGCAGCTGCCGCTGCTGAAACACCGGATACGAGGCAGGACCTCTCCACGCCGTTCACCCTGCAGGTAAGAGATGCCTGGTTATAGATCTCACACGATAACATCTTTATCTGCCATAGACCGTGTGGGGTTCATCCACTGTCGGTAGAGGGCTAAATTTTGCCGATGGCAGAGAGCGGAAAAAGTTCCGTTTGTGTAGTCTGCCTTGTATGAACTAGGAAGTGAGGGGTGTAGATGTGTAGGCAGGGTTCTAGCCAAAGGTGGGTAAGAGAGCCGCCCTGTACACGGCTACTGTGCATTCCTGTGAGAGAGGGCCACTCTAGAAACTGGTGTGCAACAGCTAAAGTAAAGTTAGCTGAATTCTTGGCCGCACCACCCGGGATGTGTTGAGGAGCGCATCAAGCGAAGATGTTTGCATTGGTGGGCGGCCACTTCACCAATCTAACCTAGTCGACTGCAGACTGGTTTATGGTGCAGTGAAATTTCGGTACGACCTGCCAGTATCCATGCACCTCGACTGGCCGTGATTTTATCTAGCTTTCAAGCAAAGTACTGTACACGTATATATACATGTAAAATCTGAGCCCAAAGCCACATGGCCATAGTACGTGTACCATACGCACATGATGTAAAGTAAACCCTGTCACTAAAGACCACCGTGACTGGGTGTAGTCATCTTTATTGTTCAATCCACAAAATCTGATGCCGCAGAAAGTGAAGAACCATCCGATCCGAGGTAAATACTTCTGAAGTACTAAATATCCATTGTAAATATGAAAATGTTATTTTACCATGCCAGCCGGCTATTTTTAAGGCATGTATGAACCCACAAAGGTGCAGGCAAATATTGTATTACATACCCACAGTTTAACTACAGCAGGAAGACCACCGTGACTAGCGACCAGCCTGGTACTACAGGCCACTTCGCCAGGCACGGACGGACGGTCTCACATTCATTATAATGGTTGTGCGGTGCAAACCTCTAACTACAGACCACCTGCCACTAAAGACCGCTTTCTCTGGCCCCAAGGGGTGGTCGTTAGTCACGGTAATTACATGTTTTACTGTATTCTGTACACGGTGCTTTAACAGTCAAAACTGGGGGTCAGCCGAGGTACCGTAAAAGCCCGTGTATAGGCCCCCAGGCGTATAGAATAGCAGCCTCGATTTCCTGGGCGTTTGCAAGGGCACGGGCGTTATTTTGGAACCGGGCGTATACTTGGAATAGAGATAGCAGTAAGTATTGCGTATCAGACCTGTACATGTACTGGTGTTGCCAGCATACCTGGGCGTATACATGTGCATGGGCGCTATTTTGAAACAAAAGTGTTGACTTCCCCTGACTGGGCGTGTACACAGAGGATGGGCGTATGCAGGGGCTTTTACGGTAGCTTGAAAGTGCATGCAGAACATCTCTTATGGGTGTATGCAAAGAAACCCCAACGATACAATTAGACGTACATCACACAATTCAAGTAAGATGCTCCATACCACACACGGTCTACACTTAACGCACTCGGACGGTACACATGTGGAGTATGTACGGTGATGGCCTGTGAAATCCAGCCCTGTGAATGAAAGTTTCCACCGGAGCCACATTCATGTCGACATGCGGCTTTCTGGATAGTTACATGCAGCGCGTGCACACTCTAGATTGCATTTGTAATCACTGCTGTCACTGCGGTTGGCCCGTGCAATATCGCTCTGTGGACCTCGTACTCGGCAGGAAGGAAATCAATTCAAATCATGTGATGTGACACAAATAGACGAGCATGGCGCGGTACTGGAGAGGAAGTTCATGTTGCATCCGCTCCACATCTTCAAGCTTTGAACCTACTAAAATCAAAAACAAATAGTCCTGTGGAGAGTTTACTTGTGAAAACCATGTAGCTTTTTGCCTCCAAGGAAACTCCTTTGGAGAAGTTCACAAATCACTTCACCTTAGGGTTCCCTGTAAGAAGGCGATGACGCCTGTTGGGAATTCCCTAGTAAAATAAGAATAAAAAATAAATAAAAAAACTTCAAAGAAAGGCCCGGTTGGGATACCATTCCCCACCACTGTAGTCTGTAGGTGCCCATTCGAACACCGTTGTACCATAGCTTGAGTGCAGATAATAAGAGCACCAATGAGACACAATGCTAGTTAACGATGGCCAGGATCATTTTTCTGGGACCATGCCACATCCGATAATGTACACTGCATACTGGATAATACTACGCACACTGTAAAACATGTAATTTTAGGTGCATCAAAATTTCGGTGCCACGGACCTGCCAGGTTTCAGGTGTAATGTAGAATTAGGTCACCGGCTTTCTCTTCACGTACAGTGCATACTGGATTGCTGCAAATAAGCAGAGGGCAAACGGACAGCTTGTATGGACAAGTCAACTGTCCGTAGGTCGGATATATCCATTGGTTCATGATGGTTCATTGATGTTGATGTCGTCCTTTGTAACTCCGTGGGCCACTTCCTACTACGTTACGACTGAGTACCGTTGTGATAGTTACAACATTGTTTTGTGTTGTCGATGCAGGAAGTATGGATGGAAAAGCTCCGACAAGCCAAGGTGACTACTTTCCTGTACTTTGACACATAGGCACCAGACTAGCTTTTGGAGTACATTCAACGTTATTCACAAACCCAGTGCACACCTGCAAGGAGTTTTGTTTGCACTGCATGTAACTAAGAATAGCTTTTACTTCTGGCTTGTGTTCCGCGCAGCGTAAATATGCGCATTGTATATGTAATTCCGCCTGGCCACAACCTAATCGGAACATTACTGTGTGCCGGTGCCGTCGCTGATTCCATAATTGTGTTTGATCCAAAATTGTAACCTGAGTACCCAGTCACACTGTGTGTGTATGTGTGTGTGTGTGTGTGTGTGTGTGTGTGTGTGTGTGTGTGTGTGTGTGTGTGTGTGTGTGCGCGCGACTGTGCGTGTGCATGTGTTTGTGGGCATGCGCAGATTACTTCAAATTCAAGTTCCAGGAATGATGCACTGAGGCTGAAAGAGAAAGGTAAGCCGCCGGTGCAGTACCAGAGTCGTATTACCCCCAAGCAATGACCTGATGTATGTTGTACATGTGCTGGGTTGTACCTGGTCTGCACTGTCACGCAAGGGCGGATCCAGGAGGGGTTCCAGGCAGGGGTTCCGCCGCGGGGAACCCCCTAAATTACTGCTGCCACCATATGCGTGTCCATGTACATCGGCTCTTAATTTTTTACTGGAACCCCTGTAGAGATCGCTGGATCCGCCGCTGACTGTGACATATGGCAGTGAAATCACAGTGTTTGGCATTGATGGCAATCATGATGATTGTGGTGTGCTGTCCGTGCTGCAGGAAACAGCATGCTGCTGAATGGACTATTTGAGGATGCAGTGGCAACCTACTCAAAGGCTGAAGCCCTGGATCCTGCCAACCCAGCCATATACTGTAACAGGTGAGACTAGTTGGGGAGGGGGGGGGGGGGGGAGGGTGCGAGCCGAAATTGCAAGTCGACCGACACTATACATATGCATAGACATGTACGTACATGCGGTTTTTCGTCATCCAGCACAGCAAGCTACGTTCATTGCTGGTTTCGGAGGGCGGGAAGGGTCCAAGTACGAAGAGAATAATGTTTGTTTGAGAGACGACAAAAATGTTTGCGACGACCCCTAAGGCATACTCGATATGAAACTCCACGCCAACAGCCCATGGAAAGAGCAGAAGTGAAGCATGGAATTTTGCACTTTATAGCCAGGTGAAGCTGAAAAAAGACCAACAGTTCTCATTATAACTGATATATGCCATGGCTAGAATATCTTCTGATGTAGTTGCCAGCACTTAGACTTAGACAGGAGCATGTGCGGCCATTTCGAGGGAGTTTTTTTCTTAACTTTGATTTGGAGATCTTCCACCTGTGACGAACTCTGAATAGTCCTGGGCCGTTACCTTCCTAGCTAGCTTGATGATTTTTGCCGGCTAACATTACAATTGCTTTTGATGGTGTCAATAAATTTATTTTGAGAACAACCATTTCACAGGCTGGGAAATTTTTCCCATGTCAATTTCAGCATTGTTTACACCAGTTGCTGCAGTTGCGGGACATTTAGATGCACATATCCCTGCAGGCACTGTCGAATCAGAGTGTCGATCAAGGGAAGTCGGTTGGAAACCGCCTGCTCAATGTTGTCTGTTGTGTATTGTTGCAGAGCGGCAGCCTACACAAAGCTTGGGCATCCCTGGCAAGCAGTGTCCGATTGCGCCATGGCGCTAACCCTGGATCCCCGGTACACAACTGCAATTGCTCGTCTTGGGTGAGTGCGCTCAGGCACATAGTTGGTGTTGTGTATGTATGTGTGTGTGTATGTGTGTACGCGCATGTGTACGTGCACATGTTTGCATTTGTCCAGATACGTGTGCGCATATGTACAGTCCATTCATGAAAAGATGGACTTCTAGCTTTTGGCAATAAATGGGTCAAACTTTGAGCTTTCTTAGAAGTTTTTTCTGCAATCCCCTTATGGAATCCTCTTCCAATGGACCACTTGCCATTTGTACAGATCCACGAAATCCCGTAGAATCCCGTAGACCCGGAAGGGTGTTGAATGTGTGCTATGCATGCGCATTTGACCAATTTTCGCATCATAATTCAATGACCAGCAATCGCTTTTCCAGCTTCTTCACTTTGGTTAGAACTAATGACTAGCTAGATCTTTGTCAGAAAAAGGTTTTCGTATGAAATGTCTTCAGACCCCATTTCTTAGTGGAAATAGCAGAAAACACAATAGGGTCCTGCACATTCAACACCTTCCGGGTCTACGGGATTTCGTGGATCTGTACAAATCGCAAGTGGTCCATTCTGTTTCTGAAGTCAATTTCTCCAAAAAACAAGCCCTAGCAAGAATAGCATTTCGGCCAGGTTTTACCCCAAAAGCACTGAATTGGGAAAAAGTCAATCAAAATAATGGATTTTTTAATATTATTAAAAAATCCAGGCCATTTGACCCCACCCGCAACAGTGCACTGTGCGGTTCAAACCCCAATTCAGGTACCCCTTTTTGGACCCTTTTTCAAATTTCAAATTTTGCAGCATTGCAATGTGTACGATAAAATCACGAAAAATCGCCAAATACGGGAGCTCGACAGAGCCAGGGCCCATCTTTTTTATGAATTGACTGTAGTGGGGTGGTTTGTGTGGGTTCGTAGTAGTAGTATTCTTTTATTTATAGTGGAGAAACCAAAACAGGCAGATGCCTAATAACAATGGACCCACTGTGTTGGGTGGTGGAGTAGGGGGGGGGGGGGGGGGGGAGATGGCTAATGGTAAATAGTGGCGGCGAAATAGAGCAGTTCCAGCACAGCTACAGAAACATGGGCGTAAAGCTAAAAGCAAGCAAGAATGTGTTGCAAAGTGCTTGACTTGAAGGCGAAATAGAGCAGTTCCAGCACAGCTACAGAAACATGGGCGTAAAGCTAAAAGCAGGCAAGAATGTGTTGCAAAGCGCTTGACCAGAAGGGGAGTTTGGTCGAGAGAGCACTGATAGTGGAGTTCTACACTCTTGGGGTTTATGTACTCCTGGTGTTATGCATGCGCTTGTGGATCAATCCATCTTGTCATGTGAACTAGGAGTAACCCTCTAGGCAAAGCGCAATGTTCCAGCCAGTGCCCTGTTACAGTGTCAGTGACCTGTTACCGTGTCAATGACCTGTTACTGTGTCAGTGACCTGTTACTGTGTCAGTGACCTGTTACAGTGTCAGTGACCTGTTACAGTGTCAGTGACCTGTTACAGTGCCAGTGACCTGTTACAGTGCCAGTGACCTGTTGCAGTGTCAGTGACCTGTTACAGTGCCAGTGACCTGTTACAGTGTCAGTACCCTGTTACAGTGTCAGTGACCTGTTACAGTGTCAGTGACCTGTTGCAGTGTCAGTGACCTGTTACAGTGCAAGTGACCTGTTACAGTGTCAGTGACCCGTTACAGTGTCAGTGACCTGTTGCAGTGTCAGTGATCTGTTACAGTGCCAGTGATCTGTTACAGTGCCAGTGACCTGTTACGGTGCCAGTGACCTGTTACGGTGTAAGTGATCTGTTACAGTGTCAGTGTCAGTGACCTGTTACAGTGCCAGTGACCTGTTACAGTGTCAGCAAGGATGTCGGAAAGTACTTTGGGGTGGTGAGGTCAGCTAACAGAATTAACTTGTGGGGTTGGGGTGGCTCCACTGAAAATTTTCGAAATTTAGAGCCCAAGTCATTTTGTTGATTCATGGGGTGCCTGTGGCAAAGAGCGGTATGGTTAATACCGCGGTGACTGTAACGTGTCTGACACCCCTGGTCAGTGACCTGTTACAATGCTAGTGACCTGCTACAGTGTTTTAATGATCTGTTGAATACGAAAAGGGACGACTGACGACACATTATCCAGACATTACAACGGGAACAGGTAGGTTGGTGGAACGACATTTATTAGAGACGGGACAAGAGGCCAAGACGAACGAAACGACTACATGGTGATTATTGACGAGTGAGAAAGAGAGCAAGTCTGAACGGCAAGATAAAGGGCCTCGGTAGCTATGGCAAATATGGGCGCGCAAGTAGCTACCCAGGCCAACGGAACAAAAGGAGCCAAAAGGTGAGTACGCAAGTGCATGCAGGCCAGCTAGAAAAGGTACGGGAGGAGGTACCTAACATATCTGTTAAAGTGTTAGTGACCTGTTACAGTGCCAGTGACCTGCTACAGTGTCAGTAACCTGTTACAGTGCCAGTGACCTGTTACAGTGTCAGTGACCTGTTACAGTACCAGTGACCTGTTACAGTGTCAGTGATCTGTTGCAGTGTCAGTGACCTGTTACAGTGCCAGTGACCTGTTACAGTGTCAGTGATCTGTTACAGTGTCAGTGACCTGTTACAGTGCCAGTGACCTGTTGCAGTGTCAGAGATCTGTTGCAGTGCCAGTGACCTGCTACAGTGTCAGTGACCTGCTACAGTGTCAGTAACCTGTTACAGTGCCAGCGACCTGTTACAGTGCCAGTGACCTGTTACAGTGTCAGTGACCTGTTACAGTGCCAGTGACCTGTTACGGTGTCAGTGACCTGTTACAGTGCCAGTGACCTGTTGCAGTGTCAGCAGGGATGTCGGAAGGTACTTTAGGGTGGTGAGGTCAGCTAACTGAAGTACAATTATTTACTTGTGGGGTTAGGGTGGCTCCACTGACGATGTTTCGAAATGTAGAGCCCAAATCAATGCATTTTATTGATTCACGGGGTGCCTGGGGCAAAGAGTGGTACGGTCAATACCGCAGTGACCGTAACGTGTCCGACGCCCCTGGTCAGTAACCTGTTACAATGCTAGTGGCCTGCTTCAGGGTCAGTGATCTGCCGTGATGGCTGTCACTCACCAGGTACAAGTACACTGACCAAATACAATAGATTTGCAGAATGTAATAAAATACTACAGTATTGGGCGCCAAAGAATGTAGTCCAAGAACAAAACAGGCTAGAATTCTACCAAACACAGCATACCGACTTACGTATTGACTCCACTGCGCATGGGCTGCTGTACATGAACGGCCTAAGCTGCAAGGTTGCCACCCCCCACCCCAACCACCCCCCCCCCCCCCCCCCCGGTTCATCGGCACCCGCCAGTACTGTACCTTAAAAAATAATAAAAGTAAATTATCGTGTCCGTTCCCGAAGGGAACTCACAACGGCCGCTAACACCCGGTGAACCCTAGCGGCAGATGCAGCGCCTAACGGTGGGGGTGAGTGGATAAGTCTCACAACCACTCGCACAAGTGCCGAGAACGACCCCATTAGCTGCATCCATGTACCCCTTGTGCCTGGCCACAAGTTCCCAGTTGACTGTGGGTAGCAGCACGGCTGGAAAAACCGCTCCCAGGCAGGACTTGAACCAGGTACCTCTCGTATCTCAATCATGGTCTTTGACCAACCCACTGTGCCTGCCTGGTACTGTACCTTAGAAAAGAGTTCATCACCCTGACCAAAGTCAAGTTCTGTATAATTTCCCCCAATACTAGTTGGATTTGTGCTCCGAGTTGGCTTAGCACGCCGAGGTTGAATGCCAAAAGATGTACGTCTGGCACCATGTACAGTTGTCGCACAACTGTTTCATAGAGTTTAGAATTTCTCCCTGCGATGACGGTGGTGGTGGTGGTGACGCTACATTATGATTCATCGATGGTCGGCTTCAGGAGCATTGTTCGACTTCTTGAAAGATAGGCGAACATCAGCTATTACAGGATGATGGTCAGATCGAGTGATGAAGCCTCCATACGACCGCGCATTCGTGACGATGGACACATCCGATTTCCGCACCATGAAAATTCCTACTCCAGCTGCTGAGGACGAAGTGCCTCCAGAACGACACAATGTGTGGACATTGTCCAACACAACAATGCCGTTGCCTTCAATCCATGTTTCAGTCAGGCCGAGGACATCCAGGTGGTAGGCATCGAAGTCTTGAATTATTTGTTGCTTTTTGATTTTACTCCGCAAGCGAACGAATATTGAATGTGCCCACACGGCACTACAGCGCTCCAGCTCTTTCATCTCTCCAGTGAAAATAAGCCCAGATCTCAGGCTATCACTAGTCATGTGTCAAAAACCCGGCTTAGACATTGTCTGAGGAACGAATACCCTCCAGAAGGAGAGCCGTAGTGACGGAAGTTCAACCCGCCATCCCGACAAAGATGGTGGCCGTATGGGATACAAAAGTGGATCGCAAACCAGACATCCTCTAAGAGACGTTCACATTTGCTAATACAAATGTTTCTTTTCCTCCACAGGTGTGCCTATGGTCGACTGTGCCATATTGAGCTTGCGCAGCGTTGCTTTGAACTGGTAAGCCAGCATGACGATCACATACTTATTACAAGACCTTGAATCTGAAGCTCAGTGTACAAGGGGAAATCCCTTCATTGCACCTACAGGCATTTTTAGAAAACATACGCATCTTCCTTGTCATTTCGCAACTTGTTTGATTCCAAACAAATGCCCAGGACAACATCACTGAGAAGTGAATCTGTATCACTTTACATAGGATTAAGGGTACATTTGTTTCTTTCCAAAAATGAAATGATGTAGGAACCTGTCATTTCAGAAAGGAGCATTTTGCTGGAGGGCCAATTCGATGAACAACTGCTAATCTCCATAACGGCATAAGCCAGTGATGCACTTCGAGTGGTCAATGTGCGCCTTGCAAAGCCATCCTTATTCTGCAAGATGTAATGATTATCTCCTCCCCCCCCCCCCCCCCCCGACCATTGCCCGGATACTGCCGCCACTTCTGATCATTCTAACTTCAGCACTACAAATGTAATTTTGCCATGTGGGAAGGTTTGAACTATTGGTTTAGAGGAACATGTTAAAACACGTTCATAAACCAATAGTTCGAACCCTTCAAATTTGAAATTATCCCAACATTCGAATCTTATGTAAATAGAAAAGGACCTATAAGTTACTAGTTATGACTGTATATAAAGAAGCCTTGCTTGGTAGTTAACATGTTTTTTCGATTGTGACAGCATGTTACAAAGCGAGGACGCATAAGACCGGGACTCTGCCAACCGGGTTATGGTTGTAATCAGGAGCACTATGCCTCCTCGCCTTGTAACATGCTGTAGTTATGACTAGCAGTCCACCAAGGTAACCAAGGTAACGACTGTTAGTCATACCTAGTAACTGATAGGTCCCTTTCTCTTTACATAACTATTACTATTGGCTCGACATCCAAGTTTTATTCCAATCTTAGAGTACCGTTAAATGGATCACATCCGAAAAGCCGAACATTCGTTACGCCCCCTTCTATAGCATAAGAGATGCAATTGAGTGCTTTCTACTCCTCCCTGTGACCGTCACAGGCAGCTGAGCTCGATCCAGAGGAGGCGTCCCACAAGGAGAACTTGGAGAGTATCCGCAAGGACCAGGAGGATGCTGAAAACAATGAGAAGGTAGCGGTGATATGTTGTGCATGTTGTGCATGAAGCATTGCAGTAATTGCAAATTTACATTCACGTGTGCCGGAGAGTTGCACAACACATTGTGAAGTATCGGCGGAGCCAGAAAGCAAGCAATAGTTTGCCGGATGCACTGCACTGAACCTGACCCGGGTACACCGAGGGGAGAGCAACAAAGCCACGGCCACAGAAGTTCGAAAACCGCACTTGCGCAGAACAGATCCCTGAATAGAGATGGTTGGTACCATATTATCGTAGAGCCGTAACCTACGTGGACCGTTATATCATTGGACCCTGGAAGAGATTCCTTGCACCGGTTTTGGCTGTGAATGCAATCAGGAATTCTGAATCATGTGACAGGCCTGTTCCTCTGCTGACTCCACGTCTTAGTGCACGCTGCAAACTGAAGTCGTCCACCAAATCTCATTGATGTGCCTCTGTTTGGTATATGTATTCCCTGCCGCTAGGATCCGTCACTACTGGCGAAAGCATTCGGTGAGTTTCAGGTTAGTGGAGAATAGTATCAAGTGTTATGGCATCTGCCAGGGTGATGGGTTGAGGGTTCTGAAATGTGGCTCACCTGCAGATGAACACAACCATCTTTTTTTGGCTTTTTTCATGTCTATCACATGATTGAAGTTGATTGTTCCAACTAGGAACACACGCTTCTTGCCGAACTTGACACTTGACTGACCCACGACTGCCATCCGGAGCACACGAGGAGCACGTTGCACCTTCCACTCGGCTAACCTGCAAGTCGCAACTTCTAAGTTCGTATCACATGATTATCCCTAGAAATGGATTAGGTTGCAGGGCAGCTGAAAAAGAAAGGTGGAGGGAGAGTGGGGGGGGGGGGGGGGGTGGAGGACTAGAGAGTCAAAAGCCTTTGGTCGGAGAAGACTGAGAGTTAGAGAGGCAAGAGGAAAGTAAGAGTTAAGAGGAGAGCTAGGGTCCCAATAGGAGAATTAGATCAGGCCCGTCGCACTGACTTTGGAGGTGGGGCGGCCATGGAAGGTGCGAAGGGGGTCGGGGATGGGGGTCCTCCCCGGGGAAAACTTTCAAAAACTGAAGCCAACTGCAAGCATTTCAGGGCATTTGGTGCCATTTCAGTGTATGTACCTAACAATACTTGAAAGACTTTTTAATTCTGCAACAAACCAAGAAGACGTTACGATCGGGGACAAGCATTCTTCACTATTTGCCATGTTTGCGTATGCGATCATCGCGCTTTGTTGCAGTATGCACAACGAAACAAAATGTCGCAAAAGTGGGGCGGCCTCAGCCACCCCGGCCGTCCCGGCTGTGACGACCTTGTGGATGATAGCTGAGAGGAGAGTCATGGCGCTAAGAGAATAGAATGGAAGTGCTGAAGTAATGTCAAAGCCTGAACCACCACCGCCGCTTTAGAAACTGTCACGCCGGTGCTTATATGATGCCCGCGAACCACGTACACAAGTGATACACCAATGGAGCAAACACAGCAACAGAATACTGCAAACCCGAATTCAGTTCAGTAATGAGCGGATATCGAATTCTTCAAAAACGAGATTACTCTGCTACACACATGCCTGCTGTAAAATAACTAATGGCGTGAATGATCCTCTCTCCACTGTGTTAACACGACCACAATAGTCCCTCTTCTTACCTGTTCATGGGTCTTCAGTTGACGCAGGACATCTGTACACAACAGCAGGCTTGTCTTCGGGTGTGCTACCCGGACGTCAAAAAAGGCATCTTGCTCCCGGATCCAGAAGCCCCGCGCCCTGATATCCAGACACGCTTCCAAAGACTTTGTCGAGACCGTGTATTCCACAGTGCTATGGTCAAGAGAATCGGCGCTGCAAGGCCACCACATCTCGTGGGTTATGAAAACTGCAGATCAGTACGATTTTAGGGCAACACGCGAAGCAAATACAATACAGTGAGAAGTGGAATGAAGTGGGAAGGAAAAAGTGCGAGAAAAAAGGAACACAACCCGCGAGGGAAGAACATGGAATCAATGGTCGAAGAAAAGTCGGATCGTCAAGAGGTTTGGTGTGGGCTTTTGTTAGCAAACGCGTGACGAAGAGCTGGCAAAGCTCCAGATCAAGGATCTGGGGCCAGGGGTCCATCGACTACCATCGACTACCATCACGTCACCATGAGTATCATAAATCTCTTGTGAGAGGCATTGATGCATAAACCTGCAAATAAAGAAGTTCTCTCAACCGAATATCAGGAGGAAGGACGCAAAGTTCAGGTAAAGCATGCAAAGTTCAACTGCCGTTGTCCGAGTATGTGTACGGTAAGTACAGTATTTCGCGAACACACTCCAAGGCAACAAACCTGCTTGCAGACCCGTTCAGCATCTGTGAAGCAAGGCATATCCAGCAGGGATGTTCGTAATGTGCTGGATACTTTCTGCGGTAAGGATGCAATGCGTGACTGGCTGCATGCTGCATCCCAGCGACTGTAGGGCATCATTCGCTGTGCACATTCCTCATGACCGTCTTGCTGTACCCGGCATATCTCAATGATCGGTGGAGGATACTTGGGGTTCAGGCACAGGGCTTCACCCGTTGCGGCATCACCTCTACAAGCACTGTAAGAGGAGCGGCATGTCGACTTTAAATCCTCTCCATGCAGAATGGAACTCTGGTACGGTGAGACACCGTGTGTTAGAAGACACTGTACTATGTCAGCGTGCTTCAGGATCACTGCAAACTGACACTCGATCTTTTCGGGGACCCAATCATCTGGGCAGTAGAATAATAAATACTGTGGCTGACTGACATATTCAATAGTTTTTTTAATATCTTTATAGTTGGAGACAAAATAGCAATTATTGATAGAAACACAACCAATCGACAGCCAACGGACACTGATTCGTTTTGACAGAAACATTTTTCTCCAGAATTCATCAGTGACTACTTCTGGTAGATGATAGAGAATGAACGAAGCAGCTGGTGGTAGCAGAAAGTGTGGTAAGGTCAGCCATCTGAAGTACAGTTTACTCGTGGGGTTGCGGTGTCTCCTCTGAACATTTCCCGAAATTTGGGCTGCGTTCGTTTTTAGCTACCTGGTAGAGTAGAGTAGAGTCACTCTACCGATAGAGGTATATTATATTTATATTTATTACAACATCTCAAGACTCGAAACACCAGCCAATGTTAAGATAATTATATGATGGTAGGGGTAAGTGCACGAACGCTGTTCTACCGGATTTAGTAGTTTACACGATGTGTACGTGAAATCATCGGCTTCTTTTTTGTATGGAGTTGTGTACAAATCCTTTATCTTCCTGGAAATCCGGATTCTACTGACTTTTTCCTGGTAGAGCCGGTAGAGCCGGTAGAGGAAAGTAGAATCTACCCTTTTGAGTAGTTTTTTTTTCTTCAAAAAACGAACACCTCTACCAAAAGAAGTAGTTTCTACCCAAACCTGTACGTCAAAAACGAACGCCCCTTAGAGCCCAGATCAGTGTATTTTATTTAATTGCGGGGTACCTGGGACAAGGTGTGGTACGGTCAATACTACCAAGAGTACATACCCCCCCCCCCCCAGAGTGTGCAACGCCGATCCAGCTCTGCATAGGGTCTTGGTCGAGCGGAATCGGATCTTCTGATGTCATGCCGCGTACACTCCACACCAGCGCAAGGCCGGTCTCGAGGCAGGGCACCATTGTTTTTCATCCGAGAGTACCCGCGGATCCTCAGATGTGGGGGTATAATGGCGCAAAGATCCAATTACGCTCGACCAAGACCCAATGCAGAGCTGGATCAGGCGTTGCACACTCTGGGGGGTTATGTACTCTTGATACTACTGGCCATAGTGACCGTAGCGTGTCCGACGTCCCTGGTCATGAGACACTGTACTGTAGCCGCCCTCTTTTCTCACCTGTTCCAATACTAGCCGGGCTGGCAGTGAGGAAGTCCATCGTTCAGCAGCTGAGCGTTGGCTACCTCGGTCCTCTGAAATGCTTGCATTGTTATACTTCCAAGTACAGTAGCTGAAACATTACTGAATCCAGTCTAGCTGTCAAGTCAATGTTTTTTCGTACTTGCCGGGTGTAGTTGGTTGGGGGAGGCCCGTCATACGTAAACCTTTTTCTTTCGGTGAAAATTATTGATACTGCCGGATGGCCCCGAACTTTGCTATTTTGGACCAGTCTTGGTCGAAAAAAAATTTTATTCAGTGACACAAGGAAAGTGGTCAATCAACGACTTGTTCAGTTGTCCTTCAATATTTTGACTCATGATCATCACTGTTTGTTTTGCGTTCGCAGTCACCTTGTCTGGAATAATGTCCATTGCAAAGTCTGAATTAAGTGAGGTGAGTCCTTCATGCATGATGGCTGGTCTTTGACGTATGGCCACCGGCCCAGTGCTATCATTTTGCAGAGTTTTTTTTTAGGATTTGCGTACTCCATTTAGTGGTCTAAAAACTCCCCAGGCATGTAGCTGCAGCTGACATTGTATTTCCAACACAACTCACATTACATTTTTCCTGGAACGCCAAAGGGGGCAACCTGCATGAGTGCTATGCATCTCTGTGGAGTTGACAAACATTGACATAGGCTTGGTTGCACTCAACTTTGCTGGCAGAGTATTTGGACACGACTCGCGACCACTGATTTCTCGAGTTCCGTGCAACAGAATAAGTTTCCATTTTTGCGGGATAGCTCAGGTCAATCCGTACTGCGGAACGACAATTTAAAGGCTTCAATTTTAAGTAAAACAAACAGAAAATGATGGGCAGTTGGCAACACTGTAACGTCATGTTGAAGACAAGAGGCATTCTAAGCCGTATTTGTTCCATTCTTTTCATTACAAAAGTTCTTGACCCGCCCTGGACGCGAACTTGTGCAATTCTTTTTCATAACACCATACAGGAGCACACGCCGTCTGAAGGAGCAAAGTTGGCCATGGAGCTTTTAGCGTCCGTTTCATCCGGTGTCCAGACGAGCGGGGGTGATAAGCCCTGACTGTACATGTACCGAACGTAGCACACTGAGCTACGCTGCATGGTTCATGCGCATGATGATGTCGAACTCGACATCACAGATGCATCCCGCACACATGACATCACAGATGCATCCCACACACATTTCCCTTATATCGATGCCATAAAATATGCAAACTGCTGATATCATGGACGCCAAGCAAACCTGTTTATACCATGAGCGCCCGTAATTCCATGATGATGTTGGACTGGACATCACAGATGCATCATCCCGCACACATTTCCCTTTCATCGATGCCATAAAATATGCAACCTGCAGATATCATGGACGCCAAACAAGCCTGTTAATACCATGGACGCCTGTAATTGTGCATCACCATGCATTGTCTGCTATCAGAGATATTGCTTTTTTGAAGCTTTTTTCATACTAGTACACTGGCACTGAAGCCTGGTACAGATCCAGCAGAGCCACCGACATACGGTATTGCCAATATGCAGTCTGCGCTGTTCGCATTTCTAGCAACGCTGCTGCTGCATGGCAGGTTGTATGATAAAGCATGCTACTGGTGGGCATGCCATACTAACTTCTGCCAGGCCGCAATCATGATAGTTGTAGTTCCGCAGTGCTGTACTTCAAAGCAGCACAGTAATTAGCATGCATAGATCTAATGTGTAGAGGTTATGCCGTCAGTTGAGATGCTTTGGTGACGTCGCAGCGCAGTGATGCACCAGCCGACTCGCACTGGATACAAAGCCCCCATAAGCGGTTCCGCCGACTCGCAAAAAAATCAATCCCCCTTATCCACGTATGCTACACTCTTTCTCATCACTATCCTCGTTTGATCAAAAGCACAAAGTCATTAATTAATTGTGGAGTTTATCCAGGTATATGGCACATTATGAAGGAGATTATAATAATGCAGCAGATGAATGGCATTGTTATACCCTCATGTCATCCGATACTGGCAATGTGTGACTTTCTGACTCTGTTCTCTGTCGCCTTTTTCAATTCCCTACTGGGGATAAAAAATCATAAAACCTAATAGCAAGCGTCCATAAACAAGAGTATGCAACTGTGATCTCTCTTCTATGGGCCAGATGCGCGGCGCGCTGCCGTCATCATTCAGCTGCAGTCCGCGCACTGTGGAAAATCAAACATCGCACTTTTCCTCTGGTTTGAAATGAAATTTCGTACAGAACTGGAGTTCACGCGCCAGAATTTAGAGATCGTGTAGGTACTTGAACGAATCGAGCAAAAACAGATGGGCTCGTACGAGAAATTGTGAGTTTGAATGCATGCTTTCCGAGCGTGATGAAGGCAAGTTACGTAATGAAGGCAGCGCGCCGCGCACTGACCCATAACCACAGTTGCATACTCTTGTTTATGCACTCTTGCTAATAGCTGTGCACCTATTACTTAGTGGACCTGCTGTACAAGAAAGAGTACATGTGTTCATAATGTACCCCTAGGCCATAGATTAGGGGGGCGTAGTCGGGTACCCGTGAGGACCCCGGGTACCCGACGGGTACAGAATAGTACCCGAAAACCCGAAGTCGCAGATGACATCATGTACAGTGCACGTGTACAAATTCAAGTAATACTCCGCATGTCTACCCGAGGCCTCGACCAAATATGCTTGCGCATATCTCCGCATATTTTGTGAGACAGTTCATATAATGGCATATTGAGCGGCAAAGGAAATATTGGAATGAAGCCAGCTTATAATTCAAATATTTTGAAGAAAATGAGGACAAAACATTCATATTATGGACAAAATGCGTTCAGAAATGCCTTTTATGGATGAATTTGGAATGGTTGAGGCGTTTGCTACATTTCCACATGGATGAACACTATCGCTATGGTTGCTGGGGGCCATACTATTCCGCATGTGTTTTGATTTGCACCATAAGCATGATAGCCGTGAAGCCAATGAATATTCCAAGGTTGTAATTTTACTGAAATGATGTACACTTTCTGCTTATGTCGAGCATATTTTGGCATATCTTTTTGCATATCTTGCTAAGCCTTTGGCATTATTATGGACGTTTTCCCTGATATGCGACGAGCATAATAATTATGCTCTTTTTTTAGCATATTTGGTTGAGGCCTAGTCTACCCAGTGTGTAAGGGAAGGGGTGCATTGTGGTGTTACCATGGAAACATTACCCGACCGGGTACCCGTGCTACCCGTGGAAAACTACCCAAACCAGATACCCAAAAAATGCTACCCAACTCAGCACTACTATAGATAACAAAATACCTCATAGAACCCATCGCACTCTCGCGGAAAATGGAATAAGACCGGGGTCAATTATTTGGAGAAGTACGGTATGAATGCCCAATTCCATGACCCCTCAGACACACTCTGCACTGCATTAAAAAAAACTTGCTTTTCTATCACAGTGCTCCCTTGCCATGCAGAGAGTGGAGATGACAACTGCGCCAAGGCATTCAACTGAAGACGGGCTTCGTCTACATCATGTTCACGCATTGCAGTTCACAAGCATGCCGCATGTATATAGTGTACGCACAAATAAAAAGTAACTATCAATATATTTTCGGCATGCAAATAGTACACGTAATACGCCAATTCAAAATGCAGAGCACGTCTACAACAATCATAATTCTGTGTCTACGCGTCAGGAATAAAGTACAAAGGCAGAAGAAGCGCGCATAGAGCAGTATGGGTCTATTTATGTCAGAAAGTCTGGTCCAGTAAATTAATCATACCATGAAAAAGAACGGAGGCAAGTTTGAAGCATCGTTTTAGAATTCAGACCAACTCGCAGCAGCAGGGTACGTCGAGATGGACACAAAACTGAACACATACACAGCTAGCTAGTCCGGGGTAGTTTCGTGCATTCAACAGCGCAAGCCGACGACACGCGCGCAACCAGCGCGGTGCCGCGAAAACTCACTGAGCTCCGTTTGCCTTTCTCGATCGTGAAGAAATTCAAGAACGCCAGCCGCTCACAACCTGCTCAGACGTCCAGAAATCCAGCAAAGCTCACAATCTGCTCACACCGGAAATTCAAGAACGCCAGCCGCTCACAACCTGCTCAGACGTCGTCGGCCTTGGACATGAGCAGCGGGTTGACGTACTCGAACCCTTCAAACTCGGATTGATCAATGCTGGCCAGTGTTTTCCTGCAATCACACAGAACCACGCCATGAAACACAATCCATGTACAGTGAGTTTACGGTACAAAGTATAACGTTTGGTTTAATAAGTAGTGCTATGGAAATAATTAATTGTTTTTAATGTGAAAAAGAGAAGAAGCACATGACACAAAACTCGTTCTCACGTGTTTCTTCTCTTTTTCACATTTATTACTACTGGCTCAGTATCCGAGTTTAAATTGTTTTTAAGTTGTTTTTAAATTGGTTTTTAGTCTAGGACAGGCATTAGCATGATAGTCTCGTTACGTACGGGTCATCCGGCGTGAACTCCAGTGGCTCCGTTGTGAACTGAGGGTCAAAGTTGGCAAGGTCGCGCTCATCTGTTAGCGGGGGCTTGTACGGAGGTGGAAACTGGCGATTCTCCATCTGCGCACATTGGCAACAGAGAACAGTATTGTCAGTGGGTCACTTACGAGACTTCAACAGAACTGACAACCATTTCACAAGTGTTTACAGGCACCAACTGCGACTCGCCTTAAAAACTGCAAGCATCTTCCCAGCCAGCAGAGTCCAGCCAGCAACAGATATAGAAGAGTTCAGGCTTAGTTAGCAAAGCTACTCACCAATTCCCAGTCGACGTTTCTGAAGAAGATGTGACTGGTTATGTCGCTGTAGCCAGTCGTAGGGTTGCAGCCCAAGCGTTCCTTTGGATTCTGCATGCGCAAAGGAATACAATCATATACAGTCAACTTCGCTACTAACGACTGCGGATATAATGACAATTCGCGAATAATGACAGAATCCGCATACCCAGAGCAAAGTCCATTCAAACCGTGTATACATATAACGACACTTCGCGAATAAGGACACTTTTCTTATGCCCCGCCGAGTGTCGTTATACGCAAAGTTGACTGTAAACACCAGCCAGTGTTCAGAGTACCAGTTTGAAAAGTAAGTGTTTTGCACGTGTTTTCTTGCCGGATGCAGGCAGCCAGGCATTCTGCAATGTACAGAGGCAGTGCCATAATTCATGACTCCATTGAAACCTCTGAACATCCCGTGAGGTCTCCCTTCTCAGCTCCCTCAAACCTGAGAGACAGGAACACCTGCACACTATTAAAGTGACTTTCACACAGGCTTAAACAGTCAGCTGGCTACCAACCTTTTCCAGGAAGGACTTCAAGACGTTGCCAGCCCTCACCGAGATGTTCCTGGGAATTCGAATAGTCTTCTCCAAGATCACTGTTAACATACACACACCATAATGCACACACACACACACACACACACACACACACACCTCAGACCTGCCCATCGCGGAAGCGATGATAGCGAACAGCTAAGTTAGACATAGCAACTTGTGCTGGGATTACACCATTCAACAGCTTGCAAGGCTGATGAATTGACCGTCACTATTTTTAGCCTGGTATCCACCACACAGCTGGAAGTGACTTTTTCTGGCCAGTAAATCCCTATTTTTCATTTTTACATTTTTTTCTTCTTTTTTTCTTCTTTTTTTTCTACACACACACCACACCACATACTCCGGCATACACTGGCTGTTGGTAACTACCCAGGAGAATGAAAGAAAAGTCAGGAAGAGTCCGAGAAAGAGAAGAAAGACGTGTGCGACCATAATCGTTGGGAATTGAACCCGCAACCTCTCGATTGGAAATCGACTGCACACACCACTGCACCATATGGGACACACGTGCGCACACACACACACACACACACACACACACACACACACACACACACACACACACAATAATGTAAGCAAACACACATGTGAAATAGCAGAAAAATCCAGTGCCATACTGTTAAATACTAACCAATGACTTTACGTAGACAAAAATGCAGCATTACAGCAAGTCAGCTGTAACTGAATCCAACGCAGCACTATCCTTACACCGTGCAAAGTGCTGGAGGAGGCTGGCTAAGATGCCGCTGAGTTTCACGCATTGAACACTGCAACAGTGTCCCACAATTGGACCGCTACGTAAAGCATCTACACTACATGGTACACATAGCAGGACCGGCGGAAGCATTTTTTGATTGCTCCAGGCATACCATACTCTACCGTGCCTTGTGTACGATGTGGCTAGGGGACAGATATGACCTACTCCGCAGTGAACATGTGTTAGTAGGCAAACAGTTGGTCCCGGCATGGCCTAATTGACCCCACTAGCTCCACCACCCCTGCATTGGCGGCAACCAATTGTGAAGACAATGCAATTCCTATAGGCTATATGTGCGCGTGCATGGCATTTTGGATATATTGTTCACTGGGCGTCGTTGCGATCAGTTCGGCCTGTGACTCTGAGCTCCCCAGACCAGACCTAACAAGGTTGAAAAAGCAATCTGTCTGGAGATTGTGTACATGGCATTGGATAGTGCACCCTGGAAGAGGTAGTTGTGTACATGGCATTGGATAGCGCACCCTGGAAGAGCTAGTTGTGTACATGGCATTGGATAGCGTACCCTGGAAGAGGTACGTTAGTTGTGTACATGGCATTGGATAGCGTACCCTGGAAGAGGTAGTTGTGTACATGGCATTGGATAGCGTACCCTGGAAGAGGTAGTTGTGTACATGGCATTGGATAGCGTACCCTGGAAGAGGTAGTTGTGTACATGGCATTGGATAACGTACCCTGGAAGAGCTAGTTGTGTACATGGCATTGGATAGCGCACCCTGGAAGAGCTAGTTGTGTACATGGCATTGGATAGCGTACCCTGGAAGAGGTAGTTGTGTACATGGCATTGGATAGCGTACCCTGGAAGAGCTAGTTGTGTACATGGCATTGGATAGCGCACCCTGGAAGAGGTAGTTGTGTACAAGGCATTGGATAGCGTACCCTCGTCAGGCGAAATAGCACGTCATAGTACATTTGAGATCAGCGGGAAGAAGATGACAACGTCCACTAATTTCGTATCTGTGCACACGAATCTGCTGTGTGTGTGACTCCGTGTGTCAGCTATGATATCATCTTCTGTGGTTCCATGCCTAGCATGTACGTCTGAACCATCCTGCAAAGTTTGAATGACGTAGGTTGAGCGATCGCTCCGCGAAAAACACTTTTTGAAATTCTCTTCATAGTATATCTTCCACCATTGAAATTTCGAATTTCTTCAAAAAAAGTGCTGAGAGGGGTGGCTTGCAACCTCGATATGGCTTGTTCCAGGCATGCTTTGGAGCCATCTTCTGTTGAAGTAGTGGCGGAGATCTGCCCTGCAACTGCTACAACAAAAAATGATTCGATCTGAGAAAGGGTGAGACCGCGAATCTCGGTTGAATATTGAGTATTTCATGCCTTTTCACGACGAAGATGGAGTTCTTTTTGGAGATGGACGTTGCGGCAAAGGACATGGTGTCCGACTTCTGGCGCCTGGTGAAGCCAGGGATCATTTGCCCAGTCAGGTCGGCAGCCTAACCGTCGGTAAGCTTGTGTTTGGATCCCGTTCTGCTCGATGTGGTAGATCACAAACAATTTGATATCGCACAAATTGATCTCAGCATCGTGCGTACGGTGTTTTATATTCAGAAAATCCCAAAGTGTCTCTGTGTGGCCGTCCTATGCCACGAGAAACTCCAATCAGGCTCCTATGTCCTCTGCCTTCATGATTGAATGTTCACTTCGTTTGAACAACGAACACAACAATCGAGGACGGCTTTGCAATGAAAATACAGCTATACTGGAGCTGAAAAAATAAGAAAAAAACGTGCTCAGGATGAGACTCCAGTACATGCATACTCTCCCAGCAGGTGAAACGCAATTTTTTGTGAAAAATGTGTGTCGCCGACTGACCAGTAATTTCGCCTGACGTGGAAGAGCTAGTTGTGTACATGGCTGTGTAACAGATACATGGCTTACCTTGGAAGAGGTAGTCCTCCGTACTCTGCTCCCCGTGATCGTTGCCGGAAACGACGTCAAACGGCGAGCGGCCGGCAAGCATTTCAAACATCAGCACGCCCAGTGCCCACCAGTCTACACTCCAATCTGCAGGTGAAATCATGTCAGAACGAGAAGATAAATAAATCCTCTCCAACCGTTGAGCTTTGCCAGATGGCGGACCATGTCACTAAGTGGGGAAGGAAAACCGGCAAAGCCAGGGTCCAGTGCACCATAAAAAATCTATGTTGTTCCTGTCTTCTCACTTCTTCTGTTCTCCGCTTGGCAGGTGAGCCAAAATGCGAGCACAGCGACAGCGGAGGCACTACACAACGCTGTGTGCGTCGCAAATATTCGTTTTCCCCGCTATGAAAGCAGTGAAAGCAAGCTCGCGCAAAGGCCCTTCGAACGGTACGGTCAACCTCAACAACAACAACAACAACAACAACAACAACAACAACAACAACAACAACAACAACAACAGCAACAGCAACAACAACAACAACAACAACAACAACAACAACAACAACAAAATCTTCAGAACTAGTGACCACGTGACTGCATACTTTGAACCTCATGAATAACGTAAAGTCGTGAACATTGACAACTCGCAAGTTACGACACTTTTCTCATGCATGACCAAGGGTCATTGTGTATGTAAGGGTCGTTATTCACAAGATTGACTGCACGTGATTTGACAACAATGACGTAATGCCACGAACACAGTGCTTACCGTACTCTTCTCCGCGCAGGATTTCCGGTGCGATGTAGTTTGGTGTTCCGCAGAACGTGCTGGTGGTATCACCGGGACGCAGCCCCTCCTGTTGGAAAGCAACATGAAAACCATGTCACACACACAGACTTACTTACGTACACTGACTTACCCATGTCCATCGCAGAAGCGATGATAGCGAACAAGCTATGTTAGACGTAGCAACTAACTTGTGCTAGGATTACACCATTCAACAGCTTGCAAGGCTGATGAATACAACCCGAGGGGAGTACAGCGCACAGTGCATACACACAGGTCTTGAAATGATCAAATACCGTTGCAAGTAAGTGCAATAGGGCAGCAGCAGAAGCAGCAACAGGATTAGTCGCAGCAGCACCAGCAGCGGCAACAGCAACAGCAGCAGACACAACAGCAACAGTATCAGCAACAGCAGCAGCAGGAGGACATGTAACCATTGCCGCACATACTTTACACATGCCATAGTCAGTCAGCTTGACGTGGCCCTCGGAATCCAGTAAAACATTGTCCAGCTTCAGATCGCGATAAATAATACCTAAATCGGCAAGATCAACAACAACAAAACGGACATTATCAAGAGGAATTACTTCGAACTGAGGTTGATAACTATACTTGAACTACGTTTCAACTTCTGAGGGCCACGAGCAATGCATTTTACAACATGTGTGCAGGGGGGGGGGGGGCAGGGCCAGGTCCACTGGTTTTGCCGGAGACCTATAGCCATTATTGCGGCTTTACCATTGAGTACGGGAAGTTGGTCGGCCCTGTAGCCAACCTGGGGCCGCACCACCCCTCAGGAGCTGTCTCCGGGTCGTGGGGGGGGGGGGGGGGGGAGGAGGTCAGACATGCAAACTGCGGAATGTGTTCTGAACCAGAGTCAGTCCCCTGTAGTCCATTGGGTTGCACTGCACAACCACGTCATAAATGTGAAACTTCTGCACAAAAACCGTTGAACTGAAAGTTTCCGTGTCCAGCATGCAGTAGAGCATTGTACAGCACTGTCAGCCGCCGAAGAACTGGAGGATCAGCCTCCTAGCCTCCCAGCCTCCTAGCCTAGACCGTTCTTATGTTTCATGTATTACAGTCTATACACAGTTGAGTCACCGTGTAAACATTGGTATGCTGTGCTTGATGAAATTCTAGCCTGGCCGTTCTTCGGCGCTTCGTTCTCCGGTGCCCGGCAGTACTGTAGCCATGGTAACCGGCTACACTGTGCGCAGTATCGAATGTCACCGTGGCAACCGGTGCACATGCGTCACTTGCCTTTCTCGTGCAGGTAGTTGAGCGCCAGGGAGATTTCAGCAGCGTAGAACCTGCAAATGCACGCAACCGTGACGCAATTGACCAAGTTGAAACACACGCACGCACAGCACGCAGCACATTACCAACACACAACTGCATCACCAGATAACTGTATCGGCTGCACCGGCAATACGTTACCAGTGCAGAACTAGCATGAAAAATGTGACCGGGATGTGACAGCCATTTACTAGAAAGCCATAAAGATCCAATATTCAGTGTGGCAACGCCAGGTAATTGAATGTAGTGACGTGTGTGTCTCGAGTATTCTCACCTTGCATGGTCCTCAGGTAGTCGCCGTTGCCGTTGCATGTGGAACATGAGGTCGCCACCGTTGACATACTCAATCACAAAGAACAACCTGCCCGTATATACACATGAGTGCACACAACAAGAACAACGTACTCATTACTGCAGACAGCCATTTGTAATTTGTTGCAATTTTTGAAATTTATAATGGGATTCCCCAAAGGCTTTCGCCTATCCAGGGGGGTTTCCAAACTTTCCATAATACCAAATCCGTAAAAGAAGTGATGAGCAATAGGTGATTTGAACTGCTCCGGGTAGCAAGGCCTCATCCGGACGTGTAAGGAGGATATGCACATGCACAAACGTACCACACACACCCACAGATACACCCCAATATACAAACATTTTTAAATCGATGCTTGACAGAGAACACTAATATGTAACTAGAGTGATTCGTCGCTTCAAGTCGAGATAGGACCAGCTATTTGCGCTAATCAACTGTTGTTGGGGACGTTTTTCGATTAAAAGCCACTTTTCGTGACTCTAGAATCATCAGAAAAGGTGCCCGGCAGATGGATGTGTCCAGATTAGAGGACTTTTACTGTACTAAGTTTATTCCCACCACCAATGACTATCATAGGCCGGCTTACTAGTAGTTCCTAGTGAGACTCACCGACTAGCAGTCTGGAAGCAGGAATGCAGGCCGACGAGGAAGGGATGGTTGCTCGACTGCTCAAACACGTGCTTTTCAGTCTGAACCCAGTCGATATCCTACAGCACAGAGCAAAAAGTACACACACGTTTACAGTACAAGTAGTACGAGCACACACACACACACATACACACACACATACACACACACACACACACACACACACACATACACACACACATACACACACACACACATACGTACACACATACACACACATACGCACACACACACACACACACACACACACACACACACACACACATACACACACGCGCGCGCGCGCGCGCGCAGAGGCGGATCTAGGGGAGGGCGCAGTGGGCGCGCGCCCTCCCCTCAAATATTTCGATTGTTTTAGTGCATGCACGTGGGCAGTTGCGCAAGTGTTTGCACATGCTGTGACAAGTAGCTTCTAGTGTCAGATAAGAAAGTTCTTCTGAACACGGAATAGTTGTTCTCTTAGACTTTGGTTGACTTTTAGTTTTGAAATTAGTGTTCAGTTGACGAACTTGTATAGCTAAGTCGGTGAAGGGGATGGCGCACCGCCCGCCCAAGCGGCCAGGGAGCCAACAAACTCTCCACGGATTTTTCGCGAAGCGAACTTGCGCTTCGTCAGCTGCTCAGTCGAGCGATCCGTCTTTGGAGGAGAATTCGGACCACAGCGAAGATCCTGAGATCGAGGTCTGCTCAGACTCCTATCTTCCCCACATGGAATTCGAAGTAGATTCTGACGACGATGCTGAAACCGAACCCAATGCTCACACTACGATTGTTTTCTTGCTAATGTATTTCCGCTCTATTCTTACTGCTGGACATGGCCATTCAAGTAATCGTATATCTTATTATTTTGCCATTATTGTTCTCGATCTCACATGTCTTGAGCTTTGAAGCACTATCTTTACACAATTCAATGTAGTACGGCTATGTTCTACTACAGCCAGAGTCCTCAATGAAGTGGTTGAAAAAGTGGGAGTGAGTGCATGTGCTAAAATAGTAATTCTACATAACCGCTAAGCCTATGACGTAAAATAGCCGCTATGTCGTAATGTGTACAAAATACATGTACCGCATGGGTTCCCTGTAGGGGTCAAAGGGGTGTTCCGGGTACCCGGGTACCCGCCCGTTAATCCCAGGTACCGTTAGTAAAAGGGTACCCGTTTGGATTTCGGTGATCAGGTCAGTACAAAACAACACTGCTGGAATTGTGCATTCCAGGCGGGAGTCAATTATTTACAACTTCAAGCTGCATGCCTGCATTGTTGTTGCATTTTCGCACCTAGTAGATCTATCTCTGCAACTATCAGACTCAAATCAATTGGCGAATCACAATGTGATATCAAAATGCAACCTGAGAACAGATAAATTACTATCATGGTTTATATGGAAATTGCGCAAAAATTAAAACATGGCTGCTAAAGGGTACCCGTTAACCCGCCCGTTAAGAAAATTACCCGTTCGTTAGTTAAAGGTACACCCGTTTGACCCCTAGTTCCCTGTCATCAATATTACCCGCGCCCTCCCCTCAGCTGAACTCTGGATCCGCCGCTGACACGCACGCACGCACACACACACACACACACACACACACACACACACATACAAGTGTGTGTACTTGCACTACAGTATCAACACCTGCAGTGCTACGTGATTACTGCAACAGCAACAAGACTGGTCACTTGCATTCAGAGACTCAGAGCACCTGTGCAAGTTAGAGGCTAACTGCTTTGATAGGCTGTGACCACCTTAGCAATGCTTGGTAAGATTGACCTTACCAAGCACTACATGTACTTGTAGCTTACAGTCAAACCTGTCAAGGCAACCCTTCGGAGGTGACCACCTGTCCCGGAAGACCACTGCAACCAGGACCCAGGCATGCTATTTCTAGTCAAATGACCCTGGATGTGAAGACCACCTGGTTACAGTGGCCACATTTTGAACGCCCATTGAGCGTTCGTCTTAAACAGGCATGGGTCTGTGCTGTAGTACCATGGTGAAATTCTTCCAACAGTTGGATACAGTCTGCTTTCCATCATGATACGGAGGACATACCTCATCATCGGTGATCAGCTCCTTTTTAATTGTCTTCATGGCGTACAGACGATTCGTTGACTTCAGCTCGACCTGGATTAGCGACAGGAAATGCAGACACAGTCAAACACAGAGAGAGAACTACATGAGCATCGGGATTCTCTTCCGGTGTAGCATTTCCTTAGTCCGCAAGAAAAATAGTTCAAGAAAAAAATACACTACATATTAAACATAGAAAGGAGAATGTTGTGCAAATTGCCAGCAAAGATAACACTAGTGACTACACCCAATTTCCAAAACTTGCTCCGATTGCTTCGATTTTGGTCTCATTCGATTCTCCCAGGCGTAGTACATCGGAAATCTGCAAGTATTATTCAAATCGGCCCAGCCATTCTTGAGTAATAGTGATTTGAAGTGCGCCAAGTTGGACTTTTGCTGGAAACAGAAATGAATGGGAGTGATGGGAGAATTGAGAACGACCGCACAGTCAGTGCATGCAGTACAGTGTACACTGCACATGCCTCGTCACTTGAACTGCGCGTACGAAATTGCATACTTTGGTATGCTGGCGCAGAACAAATTCGCTCGTAGAGGAAGACGAAAGCGTCTCACCGCCTTGTAATTTCACATGGCCAGTAGTTTTTCGACGCTGAAGACGATGGAATAGTCCGCGACGCTGCGACCCGACCAGAACAACCCGAAATTCATACCCTGAAAAAGCGCTGAGCGCAGAGCTCCTAAATTTTGTCGTATGGAAACGAGACGTGGGGTCTCAAGGGCACGAACATCTCCTCTCTCAGATAAAGCAATTCACTCGATGCGATATTCTACAATTTGACCTGGCCACGCCGAAATGCACTGCCATGTCGGATTCTCCCATCGGAAGTATAGAAAATTGTTTCCAAAAAATCAGCGTCTGGGTGCGAGGGAGTAAAGTCACTAATAACACTACATAACATACATTTAGATCTAGGTTACTTATGCCACACTCAATCTTCAACAGGAGAAGTTTGAGCAGTGATTTCAAATAGATCCAAGAGTGATTGAGCGGAACGTATTCACTGAAACCCGGACCTTAATTAAACAAGTCCGATATACACCACATGGCTAGCTGCGGAAGTGCGTGCACTCACCAGCAACACTTTGGCATAGCTGCCGCGGCCAATGACTCGGACGATGTCAAAGTCAGCCAGCGAGATCACCGAGCTGTTCTCCATGGGTGACGGTGCAGGTCCATCTGCAGCACCAATGCACGGGTGGCACACACAGGTAGCAAGCACACGCACGCACGTGCACACAGGCACATTTCCAGCCCACATAACATACAGACGCCAATAGAGTAATGTGATGTGATTACAGTGCTTCACCAGTGTGCCCAATTCTCAGCACATATGTGAGATATTGAAACGGGTATAGCTGTCATCCAACAGTGGCCTCCCACTCCCCCCCCCCCTCTCTCTCCCTGTCTCTCTCAGTAGCCAGCATCACCTGCACTCAGACCGTACACTTCATTGCACACGACACCAAGGCACCACAACATACCATTAGATCTCTTGCTGGCACTGGATGGCTTAGCAGCAGCCTCCTTGCGCGAGTTCTCCTCATCACTGTCACTCTGATGACCATGTAGGTATGGCTGAGGCAAAGAACCATCAGTGACCAGAAGCAAACAACACATGTGTGAGGTTATGAACGTTTTAATGATGTGTGACAGGTAGTGAATGGTATTCGTAATCATTATGCTTTACACACTACGATGCAAAGCTGCGCGACAGCCGCAAGCTGATGCAGCTCTAGGATATAGTGTGCAAATGTGTGTGCAGATGTGTGTGTGTGTGTGTGTGTGTGTGTGTGTGTGTGTGTGTGTGTGTGTGTGTGCGTGTGTGTGTGCGTGTGATCGCTGTGCATGCGGGAAGACGTGCCGCCCTGGAGATCTCAAGTGCCACGAACCTTTCTGCTGGTTGCCGCCAAGTTAGTCCTTTCGCTATCATTGCCTACGGCAATGGGCAAGTTCAAGGTTCAAGGAGTGTGAGTGTGTGTGAAAGAGAGAGAGAGAGAGAGAGAGAGAGAGAGAGAGAGAAATTGTGTGTATTCATGTCGTACACATAGCCGTGTGCGTAACTGTATCTACCTGTGTTATCTGCCCGATGGCGCTGCTCTCCTAACACTGAGATACACACCAGCACATACAGTGCTGCTCAATGAAATCCAGTCGCGTCACTCAAGTACGCGCCGGGCGTTGGGCAGCCCTAGAGCTGCGAAAAACTGGGCTGCGAAATGAAGCAAGGCGCAAACTTGAGTGACGTGACTGGATTTCGTTGAGCAGCACTGCACGTCGGATGCCAGAAGCTTACCGCATGCCCTTCGCAAATGTTGTGCACAAACTTGTAGCATTTCTTGTGAACCACCAGCTTGCAGTTCATACACTTGTAACCCTGCAGAACGACAACGGAACAAGACAACAGCGGGTAGTGCACACAGCCCGCAACATCACCTGAATGCTGAACTGGCTGAAACAAACTTGACCCGGGACAGTATTTACATCACACTTGCACAAAACACACACACACCATACAAGACCTGTATCAGTGTGTACAAAGACTTCACCATGCATTATCACATGCTCACCACTAACCACAGTACACCCAGGGTGGATAATACTGACATTACATCATACCACACCATGGTGATGTCACTAGGCTTTTCCACATTATTCAGGAAAAAAAGACGTGGATGTAAAAATCGATTTTTTGGAATGATGTTTTTCTCAAAAACGGATAGACTTTGGGTGCGTTCTTATTTTCTCTAACTTCTCGGAGAAATTTATCCTGAAATAAAGTCGAAGAAACTGGAAAATTTTAGAAACAAGTCTCGAAGAATTCGGAGATCTTTTACACATGTAAAGCGCCAACGGGGCCGCACTCTTGAGTGACATGGAAGTAGTGCGCACCGTGCGTATGCGAAAAGGGAAAGTCGTACACTCATCATCAACCCGTGGCTTTAGCAGGAGTTTGCATGCGCCGACCCTAGAACGCGCGCGGGCGCGCTCGCGCGCGCGAGAGAGAGAGAGAGAGAGAGAGAGAGAGAGAGAGAGAGAGAGAGAGAGAGAGAGGGAGAGAGAGAGAGAGAGAGAGAGAGAGAGTCTCCTAAAAATCAGAGAGAATAATTATAAGAACATTTCTCGAACTTTTCCGAGAGGACTAAAGGAACGCACCCTTAAAAAAAATCGAAAAAGATTCAAAAATCACCCAAGTGTGAAAATTATTCACCCGTTGCCATGGCAACGAAGTGGCTGGCAACAGCATTCAAAGCAGGGAGTCGGTACTATTTAGACGACTCCCTGGTTCCAAGCATGTGGGATTCTTCAAATTCTTGATTCTGGACTGAAACGTTGAAGGCAGGGAGTCGTCAAAATACCGGTATAGATACGAGTCGTATGAGGACTCACTGCTTGAAGGGTTCCTTTCCAATTTTCACATCCTTTATTGAGGTTTGTTTTCGCGGCATGCAAACATTCGAGTGATGACCCATCACTTTTGGAAGCGGTTAGTGGTAGTAGCAGTGAGGATTGCGGTAGTGAACATGAGAGCTCCACTGGTGAGCACTCAATTTGGGATTGTCTCCCCCCCCCCCCCCCCCCCCCCTGCTCCATATGATTTGAACAAAAAGAAGAAAATCCAACTGAACTCTGGCTCCAAAACAAGAGATGTTTATAAGTTTCCAACACTCGGGAAAGCACCAAAGAGTTGTGGGCCCGCTGTATGAGTTCAGCAATTCCCCAAGGAAGAATTGAGTGTACAAAACGGCAAAGTGTTCTGCGAAACATGCCAAGGCGAAGTATCGACGGTCAACATTGTTCTCCTGAAGCACATCAGGTCTTCAACAAGACACAAGCTCGTAAAGAAGACAAGGAGTGAGCAAAGTGCAAAGCGTGCTCAAACATTGATTGATGGACATGCGTACATTGAATGATTGAACACACGAAGTCAAAGGGCTCCACCTGTTGTCCGTGCCTGTGCGGACTGCGCAGGTTGCGCATGCGTGCATTTGTACGCATTCTGGTTGTTCGATTCCTTGCTTCTTCTTGAGACTCTCTTCTTGAACACACAAAGTCAAAGGGCTCCACCTGTTGTCCGTGCCTGCGCGGACTGCGCAGGTTGCGCATGCGTGCATTTGTACGCATTCTGGTTGTTCGATTCCTTGCTTCTTCTTGAGACTCTCTTTGGAGTGAGACCAAAATAATCAGTCCTCTGTTTGTGGTGCATTCGAGATTATGTGAGAGTAATCGGAAGGGCCTATCGTCCGGGAATACCCCCCCCCCCCCCCCCCGACGACAATTGGCGCCCAACGTGGGGCTCGAACCCACGACCCTGAGATTAAGAGGCTCATGCTCTACCGACTGAGTAATCAGAAGGGCCTATCGTCCGGGAATAACCCCCGACAACCCACCCTTCCTGATGAGGTACCGTGGTGTTCAAAGTCGATTGCTTGCCATGTCTAGTACAGTGTGTTGACTACACACACCGCTGGCTAAGTGGCACAGATCCACCTTGAGATAATATTACTATTGTCTGAAAACCTTCATGAGTCGTGGCATTCCTCTGAACAAGATGGAACACTTGCGGTCTGTTCTTGAGCAACATGGCTTGCGCTTGACTGGAAGCCAACATCTCAGTGATCGGATCCCTATCGGATCAGAGATAAGGAAGTGGCTGAGGTGAAGGCCTTCTTGACAGACAGGACTGAGCACAAGCATATTTCCATTGTGTTAGATGGGACCACGCTTGTTTGCGAGGCGATGGCTATCGCTGCACGGTGCATTGGAGCCAACTTTACGATACACCAGGGTTTGATCTTACTGAAGCTTGCTGCGGAGACTACGACGGGGGGGGGGGGGGGAGCAGATTGCGCATCGACTTCTCACCCTGGCAGTAACATTTCAGATCGCCTCGCCTCATCTTGTTGCTACTCTGCATCACCAGGGATTCTGTAAATGATGTAGCAGTGAAGACAATCAAGCCACTTTATCCCCAGGTGATGGATGTTGGCTGCTTTTCCCACACCTTGGACAACTCGGGGCGTGCAATCGAAGGTGATGCCCTGAACGGCTTCGTATGGATTCGATCACCCTATTTTCCCATAGCCCCAAAAGCCGTCTACAGTGGAAAGCGCAGACATGCGTTAGCAAGTGCTCCTACAGCCAAACCCGCCGGTGGAGCAAGTGTGAGGTGATGCAGCAGAGGCATAGCCCTTTTGGCGATATGGTGAAATTCATCAATGACGTGGAAGACAACAGTGTGACGCAGAGGCGCCTGCAGCAGTCCATCGCGGATCTTAGAAGCGAGGGCCAGGATTCAGACTCAGCTTGCTGTCACTGTTGAGTTTGGCAAGCCGTCTGTACAAGCTACATACAGGCTTGAAGCCGGTGAAGCAGCGCTGTGCTGGAAGGCATACGAGGAAGTAAGTGTCTTGATGCTGTTTACAGAAGATACTACTCCTTGCTCTAGCCGACACAATTTTCACACCGGGGATTCGTTGTTATCCCCCAAGATGCAAAAACTGTTACGCAAAACACAATGCGGAAAAGCCTAGACGTCATAAATCCGGCCTAGTCTGGGCAAGTTTATCATGATGTCACCAAATTAAGTGCAAATTTTAAGCTGGTATAACTCAGGAACGGCTGCTCCGATCAACCTTGGACCTTCACCATTGGAATCAGTGCATTTTTTGCTACAGGCAGTGAAGTTTTCATTTTAGGATGAACTTCCCCTTTAAAACTTTAAAATGAAATCCAAAAATGAGGATGATTTCTAGAATCGCACTGACCTGTCTGCCAAGTCCCCATATCCGATCGTTGCACAATGCACAAAACTGAGTCTGTAACATGAACATACACACATGCGAAAACACAAACGCACACACACACACACACACACGCACAGCAATCACCAAAAGCATTCAACATACCGTATTTTCCCCATTAAACGTACACGTCTCCAATACTAGAACGTCTCCAATTGTAGTACGTGTTGAGTGTGGATCAAACATATAAAAGGACACGTCTCTAATAATCGCAAGAGTACTAATGAATAGGTTTTCATGTACTCTTGGTAATAGTACATGCCGGAATGATGTGATGAGTATTATTGGGGTACTGGTACCAAGGGTCCACATTACTTCGTTCTTCTTACCCTTTCATCATCTTTGTGTCTTTGTACACTGATTCTTACCATGGCTGGATTGGAAAGGCTTCCTGTCTGAAGCCTTTCCATACTGGTACTCGATGTTCCTGTTTTGTGACACGAGAATGGCACGAGAATTAGTGTACCGCTGAGTGTACCGCTATACACGTGGTCGACACGTTGTTGACACTTTTTTGACACGTGACCCCGTCAACGGTCTGCTTTGTGCCAATGACAACTCGGTAAACGCCGATGTCGCGTACGACAAAGACGACTATCCCGTACGCGAAATAGTTGAGAACTGCATGACGTGGACCTGATGGCAAGGACAACTGCGAGGAGGCCCCTTTCGGTACCCCTGACCAGCTGACGGGAAGGAGAACTGCAGAAGTCGACGAAGTCGAACGAGGAGGCCCCTTTCCGTACCCCGTACTGCAAAGTGCCATTGATGGATGCCTTTTGCACCTGGAACGACCCCTTAAACGCTGTCGCGGCGACTATCCCGTACGCGAAATAGTTGAGAACTGCTGACGTGAACCTTTTGCACCTGGAACGGCCCCGTAAACGCTGTCGTGTCGGCGGAGTGATTGTGCAGGGTGAAAAGCTGCAAAGACGTCCCCTCCGGAGCTCCAGGCCTTTGGAGACATCGTCGGCGAACTGAATGCGCAGGGCGAAAAGAATTGCTGCAAAGACGTCCGCTCTAGGCCTTTGGAGAAATCGTGGGAACTCCTTCCGGTACTATACAAACTGCTGACTTGGCCGTGGACATGTACATGGAGACATGGTGGGACTTCATGTACATGGATACATGGTGGGAATTCCTTCCGGCACCCCCGTACCGCAAAGCCAATGGTGGGGAAGGAGAAGTGCAGACGTGCAGGAAGACGAACGAGGAGGAACCAGGGCGAGCGAGCAATGGCAGGACTAGCTGGACCGTAAGTAATAGCTGAATTGTGCATGACAACTTGACATCCATGCGGCACTTGCCCGCCACTGCATATTTCTAGTCCACTAACAATGTCTCTCCTCTGCCCCCTGTGTGTCCACGCCCTGTTGCTGAATTGGCCCGATGAATCGAATGTCTTCCGCAACTGGAACGGCCCAGTAAACGCTGTCGCGCCGGCGACTGAATGCGTACGAGGGAAAATATTGCTGGGAAGACGTCTCCTCTAGACCACGGTAAGGCAACCCATTGATATGTTGCCAGTTACCTTCTACTAACACGTTATCAGGTGGAGAGTGTCTTGTACTCACGTTATCAGGTCAAAAAAATGTAATGGTCTACAGTCGTGTCGGAAGGGTACGGTGGGACTGTAGACCTGTTACCTTCTAACACGTTATCACTATATCAGGTCGAGAGCGTATTGTGGTCACTCTCTCTATTCCTGTACTTCATTACGTTTCAGGTGTACGTATAACTTTTCCAAAAAAATTAATGGTTCACGTCTTCAGATAGAGAGCGTATTGCACCCACTGTCTAGTCTGTAGTGCATTGAGATTTTGTTGATCGCACATTTAAATGGATACACAGACAAAGCAGGCCAAGTACGTGGCGAGATGTCGCCAGAAGAACGTCTTCAGATAGAGAGCGTATTGCACCCACTGTCTAGTCGATTTTGTGGATCGCACATGAAATGGATACACAGACAAAGCAGGCCAAGTACATGAGAGACTGGACGATGTGCGGATCGACACGGTCTGCGGGTACTTCATTAAAGTTACCCGTGACATAACTAGGATAAAAGTTAATCACTGCAAAGACATTGCCAAGTATGTGAGCACTTTGGACTTGACAGAAGAGTTCACGGGCGACGTTGACAAAACATACCGCGGTGACTGTCACCATCATGACAGCAGGGCACATCGCACGCAGCATCGCAGATCGTGTCGAATTGCGCATCATAATATTGCAAAACTGCTCCTGTGCATGCAAGTGGATTTCATTGCACTTCTCAGTTTGGGAAATGCTCGATTATGACAATTCTGCGTGTGAGTGCACTAGCCCTGAACATACATGTAGGTGACCCGTTTGTGGTGTCTCATAGCTAGCCCTTTCCCAAAGATGCTGGCCACTTTTTTTCGAAACTTTTCGTTGTTTAGGAAGAAATCGCAACTTTCGCAACTTTCTTCATTTTCCGGAACTATTTCGCAACTTCTCCGCAACCTTGGCGCAATTGGCCCATGGCATGGGGTCAAAAGGTCAAGTCACCGACTACATGTTGCATTGTTGGACAAACACATACTCGTGCTCGCTCATTTCTCGCCTGCCTTCAGGCTCATTTCTGAGAAACAGTAGATCAACGGTAGTTATGATAATTATGTGCATTCCCTTTTCCGTGCACTGTAATGATGTACATGTACATGTAGGATACATGCAACAGGCTACTGGCAATGTGTAAAGTGGTGGTTCACAGCAGGAAGGGGTGTACGAGTTTGCTGTCGCAGCATCGCTGCATTTCTGCTCCCTGTTTTGTAGGTTTTGCACAAGAACTCTCCAATTTTGAGTTGCGATATTGGCAACTTTTGAGCTTTTTCTGAAAATATGGATGCGATTTCAGCAACTAGCACTTGTTTTGGCACGGTTGCGAAAAGCATAAGTTGCGAAAAACTATGGCATCTTTGGGAAAGGGCTACTCATAGCCTACCTCACGACCTTCTGCTTTCTTTCTTCATCACTTGTATCTTGCAGGTATATCATCCCGTGACGACCACATTGAAGTCTGAATTTGAAGTGTGAAGATGCTTCAGCAACCACATCGTACTTTTCCATTGCTTTCAATGTGCTTCTACTGTGCATGTGTGTAACTTGTGGGGTAAACATGTGATGACATTGTATGCTGGCGACACGGTCAGATGTTGTCCATGCGTCTAACGTACACCTGCATGTTATGCATTGAAAAGGATTTGCCTTGTCACTTTGTATGATATTACATTCTGTATTCGCTGCTTCCGTGGCATGGTCTGCAAACTGCAATCCTTGGGCAAATGTCATGTTTGCTATGTTGTGCTTTGGCCGTCAGCTTGTCTACACGCTGTAGTTGAATTATTTTTGTTTCACAACTGACTTCCTCAAGTACGGTGGCCACTGCTCTGCATGGCATTATATATGAAGAATTTCCTGTTTGTGTCGTGTGCATGTGCGTGGCCACGTGTGTGTGCCGTGTGCATACGCATGTTTGTGTATCTGTGTGCGGGGTAGCGAGGCGGGGAGGGCTGTTATGTATCAGTGTGTTATTGCAATCTCATGGGTACATACAGTACATCGCGCGCGTGGTCATCATGTTTACCTTCGGGGTTGGGGTGGGGAACGGAACGGAAAAAGAACTGAAATTATCCATATAAAACCGCTCTGTGAGCGGTTCTGAAAAACCTTTACTGGTACTGCCCCGTCGTAAAAGTAAGAAATTAGAACTGGCCCATTGTCCCCCCAAATGCGAACTGATCCACCTAAATCGCGAATGACGGGACCCGAACGCACCAGTAGCACGAGGTTCCACCTGTAAATGCAGATGAGGACGTTGGTCCGGACTATAGGCCATGTACTTTTCTAGCGGTAGGTGGTGTTACCCTATGATAATTGCTGTCCTGTGCCCTCCCGACCTCGTGCTACTGGTGCGTTCGGGTCCCGTCATTCGCGATTTAGGTGGATCAGTTCGCATTTGGGGGGACAATGGGCCAGTTCTAATTTCTTACTTTTACGACGGGGCAGTACCAGTAAAGGTTTTTCAGAACCGCTCACAGAGCGGTTTTATATGGATAATGTACTTACAGCCTTACAGCATCATTATCACGAGTTGTTTGCCACCCAACCCAGGCAATCAATCTTTCCAGAAACAATAAAAGTACACGTCTCCAATACTAGTACAGGTCTGACCACCTTTGAAAAATAAAAGTACTGTACATTTAATGGGGAAAATACGGTATTAGGCACAGCCAGATCCAATTTTAAAATAAATCAGGTCCCCATACCCGATCGTTGCACAATGCACAAAACTGAGTCTGTAACACATACACCCACACGCGTGCATGCAACCCCCCCCCCCCCCCCACACACACACACACACTTACATAGGTACGCTTTGCTGCGAACGCATGTCCATTGACACGATGCAGCTTCTTCCAGCGTCTGGCACCGCGACGACCGTATGCAACACCTGATGAGCAAAAACAGGGAACAAGCCAGTTTGGTAAATACCCAGCCCAACAAGAGTCTGATTGAAATCATGGCAAACAGAACAAGTGCCGTCACTACATGTACCTGGACCATGAGAAGCTCTTTTTTGTGAAACAGCTGCACGCATATGCACGTGCATTTACACGTGCTCGTGCACGTATAGGTGCGCGCGCATGTGCGCACGCACACACATACACACACGCACACACATTCGAGCCTGCCGAAACTGAAAAGAAGAGGATGGCCTTCGAGACCACGCCAGTGCATGAAAGTGCTGGTAGTGACAGGGAGGGAGAGAGGGAGGGGGGGGGGGGGGGAGAATGATTACCGGGGGACAATAATTATTGAACTACAGCTCCACTGTTCACTTATGGTCGAGTACCGACTTGTGCAGTATGAACTATGGTGCTGTATACAGAGGTGACCAGTGAAATCCAGCCAGAAGAATAAACCCAGGCCACACATTCACTGCACTGCCCCGAGCGCTGGTATTTAACGAGGTGGGGTTTCACTCGCCGACAGTCTAGAGGTTATGCAAATGATTTCGCTGGGTGAGTTAGCCAGGAACCACTCATGGGCACCAAGTACACAGCGCGAGTCAGTGGATTCGCTTATGGGTGCTGTGTATGCAACGTGAGTCGCTTGTGCAAGTGAAACGCTGTGCAGCAAGTCCGCGACTTTGCCAACGCATCTCAACTGATGATGTTATAAAATCCATAAAATGTAGAATGTCTTATCTGGACCTCCCTTATCCGGACGTACATGTATTATAAGGTCAGAGCCAAGGGATCCTATTGTGTGTTGTGTGTGTGTTATGTGTGTGCGCGTGTGCGTGTGTATGAAAGGTACAGACGAGCCATGTCCACCGTGTCTGTAGTGTATTTTAGAGTTTCGCATGAATCCCAGATATGCCCCCCCCCCCCCCCCCCCCCCCCCCCAGTCCCGCGGCGCCCAGGCAAGATCATGGATCATGGAATGCCATTGTAGCTGTAGAGAAACCCTAGCCAATATAGTTAATACAGTAAAACCAGTAACTAAAGACCACCGTGATGACTAGCGACCAGCCTGGTACTACAGACCACCGTGACTAGCGACCAGCCTGGTACTACAGACCACTTTACCAGGCACGGACGGTCTCACATTCACAATATAGTTGTGCGGTGCAAACCTCTAACGAAGGACCACCTGCCACTAAAGACCGCTTTCTCTGGCCCCAAGGGCAAGGGGTGGTCGTTAGTCACAGGTTTTACTGTGCTCTTGTCACTTTAGAGGAACCCCAGGCAATATGGCTACTTACGGTGCTCTCCATCGCAGGCCATTCCTGGAGCTGTCGGCACTGTATCAAATACTGCATAGTGGATGTACGCATACACACATAAAACACAGGACATGTGGTGGATTATATTCATGTAGGGTCGACAGATTGGTATTGCTGCTGAAGCCGGTGCATGACCAGGAAGCCACTGCTGGGTCTGCACATTCTGGGGTGCTAGAGTACTCGACAGAGAACGCATGCATGTATGCCTGCATGCTAGCGTTGGATACGAACAGGAGTCATACTCTCCAGACACAACGGACAACGGGCAAGGGTAGATGGAAACGACAGGCCAACGGAACAAAAGGAAGCAAAAGGTGAGTACGAGGGTGCATACAGGCCGGCTTGTAAAAGGTTGTAGCACGTACGGGAGGAGGTACCTAACACTAGTATAAGTATGGGCATACACACATACATCCACATACATGTGCACATGCGCTGCACATACACACATGCACACACATGTGCACACACACACTCACGTGCGCGCACACACACACACACACACACACACACTCACGTGCACACACACACACACACACACATACATACACACCGACCACAGTACTACCGTAAAAGTAATTTACTTTCGAATTTAGTGGCCACACCCGTACTAACTTTCGGACGGGTACCGGCTGACTTTCGAGCATGAATTAACTTTCGGACCTGACTTGTGTGTAGTGGAGAAGTCGTTTTCATGTTGATGTACATGCTACGTGCTGCATGTGCGCATCGTACCGGTACTTGTTTCGGGCAGTATGTTTATCGGGCTTGACTTGACTTCAACAGGCAGAGCCAAAAGAATGAAGGGGTATTTATTTCGGGCAGGTACTTATTTACGGACTTTTACGGTAGTACTCATGTGCACACGCCTGCAAAATTTAGTATTGTTCTAGCCAACACGAGGCTTACCAAACATGTTGATCTCGATGACATTGTGAGAAAAGTAGAGACGGATCAACTCCTCAAGTTCCGACTGAGATTCCACGGTGCATGGGTCACCTGTAAGTTTGGTGTGAACGTCAACAGACACAATGGTGATATGGACAAAGAGAATTGCCATGATGTTAGTTGCCATGATGTTAGTAAACGAACATAATACAAAAGCAATTACCGTAATGTGTGATGGATTCCACCTCATACACCTAGACGTCAAACATGCTATTCCATTGTGGTGGAACACCGGCTCTCTGTCTGTCTGTCTGTCTTTCTCTCTCTCTCTCTCTCTCTCTCTCTCTCTCTCTCTCTCTCTCTCTCTCTCTCTCTCTCTCTCTCTCTCTCTCTCTCTCTCTCTCCCGCTCCCCTCCTCCCCCCCCCCCTCTCTCTCTCTCCCTCCCTCTCTCTCTCTCTCTCTCTCTCTCTCTCTCTCTCTCTCTCTCTCTCTCTCTCTCTCTCTCTCTCTCTCTCTCTCTCTCTCTCTTTCGCTCGCTTGTTCACATGCGTGCGCGCGCACACACACACACACACACACACACACACACACACACACGCACACATAAACACATACACACAAACACACACACACACACAACCACACACACACAAACACACACGCACAAACACACACACACACACACACACACACACATAAACAAAGGCACGCACCACAAAAATTGAACCAGCGGCAACAATAATATTATACTGAAGTATACTGAAGTATCTATTATGTGTTCAGATCCGGCGCTACAACGCTAGGCAGGTCACCTTTCACATGCATCGTGAATGCTCCCGTTAGAATTACCTTCCTCGTCGACCCACTTCACTGTCATGTCCTTGTCCTTGTCCAGTCGACACATGGTGCGGACATCGCGCGTGAACTCATCAAACGATGTTATCGGATTGACTGCCATCATATGCTCTTTCCTGCGCCCATGCACGCACCAACAAAATGCAACAAAAGATATTATGTACATGTACTGCCCGTATACAGGTCGTCCCCCGTTAATACGAGTCCGGTTAGTACATAAACCCCGTTAGTACATAAGAAATCTCAAGTCCCGGACGAAACGTGGTCACTTCCGTACAAATTTTGTCGGTTAGTACATAATTCGTTAGTACATAAACCCCGTTAGTACATAACATTTCTCCGTACCCGCATGCCACCTACCTCAATAGTACATAATTTGTTGGTCTTTTGGCCTTCGAGTGGAGGCACATCGTGTTCTAGTTTCTACTTGTGGACGCAAGTAGCTCAGAAATCAGAGCGCAAATCACAAACCGACAAGGCTCTGTGTTTTCCGAGTGACTGTACAGGCGCGGCTGGACATGTATCACGTACAACTGTAGAATCTTCGCTGACTGTGACCGTTATAACATAATTTTTATGTTATATCGAGGGAATCAAGAATATCTCGCTCCCTAGTCATGGTAGCAAGAAACACTCAGAACAGTTGAAAAAAAGTGAAAAATTCAGGTACATAAGCAAGTTATGTACACTGTCGTTTAGTACATAGAAAAATTCAGGTACATAAGCAAGTTATGTACACTGTCGTTTAGTACATAAACCCCGTTAATACATAACATTTCTCAAGTCCCAGAGATTATGTATTAACGAGGGACGACCTGTACATGTATGTGTTGGCTAACACTTAAAGGCAGAATAGAACAGAGACAACCGGCAAACCCATTGTTGTAACGCTGCGTTTCATACACATAGCAAAAGCTAAGGCAATCCTCAGGCAACTGATAGTCTGTGCATCATCTGGCTATAAACTGATATCCAGGCAGGTAGCATAGTGTGACATTAGTGTGACACTAAAGTGACTTTTAGTTAGTGACTCGTGCTGCGGATAGCGTCAATTTTTCACGGGAGGTGAAAAGAAGGGAGAGAAGGCTAGCAGATATGTTCAGCCCCGCCAGCTTCAGCTTCGCAATTCGGGGCTGATTTCAGTGATTGCAACTGTAGCGTGTTGCATTGTGCTGCTCTCTATGGTGTATGTTACACCGTTACACTGGTATGCGCGACATAAACACACGGGCATGTCACGCATACCAGTGTAACGGCGCCAAATAGAGTGAAACCTGTATAAGACGACCGCACAAGGGACCTGCACAATGTGGTCTCTGTTACCAGGTGGTCTCCTTATCCAGGGTCGTTTGGCTGCAAATAGCGTCCCTTGGTCCTGGTTACAGTGGTCTTCTGAGGCAGGTGGTTGCCTTACTGTAAGACATGTATATATAACGAGGAAGCAAATCTAACGTTTTAACGGATGACATTTCTTCGTTATAATAAGATCCGTTGAGGCCGTACTGCTTCATATATGCTGTGTGTGGATATGGCAGAATACTGCAAGATCGTTAACATATCTTCTCGTTAACCTATGAATTTTGGACAATCGTTAAATTTGCGACTCGTTATAATAACATGTCTTACAGTATCCGAGTGGTCGCCTTGACAGGTTTTCCGATTTTGCACTTTGCGTCGCATCTCACCGAGCACAACTGTACTTCAAACTCTGAAGCTGATGCGTACACATGGTGCCCATGAGTGCTAGTGTGCGCCAACTACCAAAACCAAGCCTGATTTTCTATTAGAGACTAACTTGCACTAGCAACCGGTGCAGACTCAGTCTAGTGGACTGCATTTCTCCGTGTGTGCGCACGTTACACAAGCGCTCACACACACACACACGCGCGCACGCACGCACACATCACACACACACACACACACACACACACACACACACACACACACACACACCGTGTATTGTGTTCTGCATGTCAGTCCTGGATGGCATTCACAATGGCACTTTTCTTCTGGGATGATTATTTTATTTTTTTATATTAACAATAGCGACGTGTATTGAGTTTACTTCATGCCCGATGATTCAGATGTTTTTGTTAGAATGCAAACAAGTCAACGTGGCGAACCTTTCAGAATGACTTCAGCGTTCACTTGTGTGCATGCACTAGAACCCTTCAAGCACTGTTTTCTGTTCTGTTTTTCCTATGTTCTCATGCTCTCAGCTGATATTGATAAGAGTGCTTGGATCAAACAGCGTGATCAGTGACTGGTGACCTCGTACTGAGTCTGTGCTGCATCATGGTACATGCACATAATTATGTACTGCAAGACTCACCCATTGAAAATCACCTGCACGGTGACATACCCTTCCAACGCCATCCCGCCAGCAACAGTTCCACTGTCCACTACCCCGCCAGGACAGAGATCAGAACGAGCACTCTCGCAGAAACTGCTTTGCTCAGCTAGCGAGCTACCTGGACTAGGGCAGCTGACGCAGAGCGCACTTGTGTCTCACGTCGAGACCAGTGACGGCAGAGATAGCGTCGTCCAACGCTGAAGAGCGGAAGCACCAACGCCTGTGGTCAAGATGGTTTAGATTGTCCGGACACTACTCGACTTAGCACAAGGGTATTTCGTACTGTGAGAATTGTTTAGCTCTCCGTCCAAATTTATCTTGCAGCAGCGATGTCTGTTCCATCGACGGCTTCAGCGCTGTCTCTGGAGAAAATATTGCCACACGCGCGCAGCAGGCTCCCTAGCTCTCGGGACCCTATGCGAGATGCAATACCATAGCAGATAGTCTGTGAACGCCGAACAAGACACGACAACTCCAAACCACCACGCGAACGCCGTCTGATGTTCAAAAATAATTCTGTCCACACATTATGTGCATCACATTTTGCCAGTCGAGTAACACATGTCACTGTTGCCAGTCGCTGAGTCGGTCAACACAAAACATTCAGTCATGTAGGATTGTAGCGGGTCAGTGTCAGTTACATCAATCATGTGCAATGGCATAGTGCACGGGTCGGTGGCCTGGAAGATCTACATGGTGCGTCGGTGCAGTGGTGGTGGCACAGACAGTACAGCCTACACCTAGTACCTGGTCACTGCAGTCTGCATGCAGTGATCATGTATGGTGTAGATCTGGCTCACTGCACTCTATCATCAAGATTCAAGGCCCACCTATGGCTATGCCACCCGCCCCCGCCCCCCCCCCCCCCCCACACTCCTCATGACCCGGCAAGGCGGCCTCGACTCGTGCCCCGATCCTGGGTGTATGTGATAACGTATATCAATGACAATGATTATGTGGGTGGCAGCCATTGTCCATTGAACATCCCTCTAGCTCTTGCCTTGGCTCATTGGACTTGGAGAGTGTTCATTCATTCACAAGAAATGAAGAATAAGCATTACAATTTACAGGCTACAATGCCCACGGTCATTTACACTGTGCTAGTTTTATTCACCACCCGGGCCAAAGTGGAAAAGCAGTGTTTGCAGCGCCGGCCCAGCATCCACTTAGTACTTAGTATTAGTGACTTGAACTGTAGTTGAAGAGCTTGCACTGTTGCAGCGCCATGCCGCCAGGCTTTCAACACAAGATGTCATCAAAAAATCAGCCCATGATCAGGACTGAAGATCTACACTACAGTCATGTATATGTATGATGTAGATAAAAGTACATGACATGTCATGTAGTCATGTACTGTGAATTAGCATTGGTTGTATCAAGAGTACATAACCCCTTCTTGGTTGTATGCATTATTGAAGAAGAGGTCTGCCATATTGGTGTTGCGACTACAGTGATATCATGATAAGCACCTTGGATACACCGGTACATGCAACATACCGTTTTCTCTTAGTATACGGGATATAAAGAATGTGTTGGAATAGCAGGAGCCACATGACTTTGTACTCTTGCTGGTACTCATAGCACGAGTAACCCTTGATCATTTGTATCGTATTGGGATTTGTTCTCATGATATACAATGTACATGTACATGTACATCACAGTAAAAGTACGCAATCTCCGGACAGCTAGCTGTTTCAACCAGTTACCTTGTTTGGTCTCCTCAGCGGAGCTCAGAGATCCCGATGAAGTCTAGTGATTCAGTCGTGAACGACAAAGCAGCTCAAAGCATCAATGCTAGAGTGCTAGTCTATACTACATGTACACTGCAGTTCTATGCAGTGACCCCCCCCCCCCCCCCTGACATAAACCATGCAGTTCTATGCAGTGACCCCCCCCCCCCCCCTGACATAAACCATGCAGTTCTATGCAGTGAACCCCCCCCCCCCCCCCCCCGACATAAACCATGCAGCACTGACTGTGCCGAGGTGCACGCAACGCAACGTGCACAGGCGGGGCTTCGCAGCAACAGATCGGATGCGCATTGAGTCCACCGTTTGGAACAATTGCAATGACCAGCTGTACAATGCAACTCAAGGATAGCAGAACTTAGCACTGCGCTCAGTTTCAGCATGATCTACATGTACATACGCGTACAATACTGGGCCATGAAACACCTTACTACTAAGATACACTATCATACTGTTTCAAGCACTGGTACTCGTCTTAGAAGTTCGACAAGAAGCGTGTGTTCCTGGTTGGAGCAACCAACCGTTCATGGTACTCGTCTGTAAGTATCATGTATGAGCAATGGTCAGCAGGCCGCATGTAACATATACAATCATGTAACTGTTACATGCTAGGTTGTACCGACAACTTCGGACCGTCGGAAATACGAGATGCGTTGCTATCTCACTCTCTCTGAATAGCGCCGCCAAAGTGGCTGTTCTGCATGACAAGGTTGGCAGCAAAAGTAAGCTAAATCCACACGCTGGTGTGCGCATCTATAAATTGTAGTGGCACTTGAGTTTGCATCTACCGATAGTACGGCACCTATTTGGACAACATTGAAGATTGAGATTCCTGCAGACTTTGAACATTATCAAGATTTCTGAAGCTGACGTGGCACAGAAATTGTCATCATCAGTGGCAAGTCGTATGTATGAACCAGGTTATGAACCAGGCTATGAACCGGGTTATGAACCAGAGTATAAACCGGGTTATGCCAGGTTATGAACCGGGATATGAACCAGGTGATGAACCAGGTCACAGTATGAACCGGGTAATGAACCAGGCTATGCACTGGGTTGTGAACCAGGCTATAGATCTCTGTCTCTGATGAAGCGATTACCTTCGTCGTACTCAAAGTCGTCAATCTCCTCGTGCACGATGCTGAACTGAGTGTCTCGACGCGGCGGTAACGAGCACGAGAGCAGCGCAAGGTTCCGACTGCTCTCCGTGCTCGTGCTTAGCATGCTGGCGTCAGCCGCGGCCGAGGTCCTGGCGGCGACATCGTTGGTATCGCCGTCATGCCGACTCGGCGCTGGTATAGAACTGGTCGACTCCGTGCTGCTGCCTTGGTCGGCAGTGCTGCTATCCGCCTGCGTCTGTTTCTGCAGTGTGCAGCAAAGTACAAACCACATAACTTTTAAAAAGTACTGCTGGGCGCCGAAGAGCAAGCAGGCTAGGACTTCGCCAAGCAGAGAGAGAGAGAGAGAGAGAGAGAGAGAGAGAGAGAGAGAGAGAGAGAGAGAGAGAGAGAGAGAGAGAGAGAGAGAGAGAGAGAGAGAGAGAGAGAGAGAGAGAGAGAGAGAGAGAGAGAGAGAGAGAGAGAGAGAGAGAGAGAGAGAGAGAGAGAGAGTTTGGAAGCTTTGTCACAACTCTGAGTTTCACGTATTACTATCATCAGGCAACAATCATGTACATGTACATGGTGACTCGATTGTGCATAGACTGTACGTCGGCGCATAAAAATAAGAACAGCCTACAGGGCTACAGCGCTGATCGCCCAGGTCTTGGTCACCCGACAGCACTGTAGCTATTCAGGTTCATCATGATCAAACCAAGTGACAACTACCGTACTTTCCAGAGTATACGACACACTTTGAACACTCAAAAATCACCCAAAAAAAGGGGTGTAGCTTATACATGTACATGTACTCTCCAGTGTTACTCGGTCCCGCCCTGCCCGGATTAGGGGAGTTGTTACTCGGTCCCGCCCTGCCCGGATTAGGGGAGTTTTTACTGTATTGTATTGTATTGATTTATTTAAATTCGGTATCTCAACAGTACAATGTACAACTTGGGAAGATCTGAATGACAATATACATGTACATCAACATAATTATTATGTTGATGTACATGTATATTGTCTTTCGGATCTTCCCAAGTTGTACATTGTACTGTTGAGATACCGAATTATTAACATGTTTTACTGTATGTGAAAAGCCCAGCTCTGAAAAGGCTGAAGACCGGACTAAGCAGTGATGAAGTCTGATAGGAAACATGCCATGGTCACACAAGTACCGAGACAAAAATTAATGGTCTGGGTTCAAAGACGCTGCAGCGGACCATTTCCCAGTCGAGTGCGGTCCGGCAAATATTGAGCATTTTCAGCGGCACTCAAAATGTGTAGCTACCTGGTTGCAAGCTTTGATGCCATTACCAGATAGCATCAAATGTGCGCTCGTGCTCATTTCAGAATGTCAAACAAACGATGCAGCGCAGCCTCCTCGGACCAAGGCCATTCGAATCGGCGCCTCAAACTCCCGACCGATTACATTATAATTATGTCGACGTGATTTACATGTATAGACTATATGCTACTCAGTGCGCACAGCTGATTTTCTAGTGTTGCAATCACGTGTGACGAGGATTGACCGTTCTCCTCCCCCACCCCTCAGGCTCTTCTTTCATTCCATTCTCACATTCGCTTCCATGCAATAGGGCTTAAGCGGGATTCACAGAAGCTTTTTTGCGATGCGACACGCGATGCGACAGCCGCGAAACCGGGAAATCCCCAAATCGCAACCATCGCGGACCCCACGCAACTGCCGCAACAGGGCCATCGCAGGCCATCGCAGAAGTTGAGCTTGGCTCAACTTTTACGATGCGATGCGATGCGACAAGCGATTTGGCGTACGATTTTGACCTTTTCTACAGCAAAGTTGTACAAAGGTTCAAGAGTTGCCTATAAATTTGTACAAGTTGTATCAAACCGCGCGAATATCATGGTGACGTAGCCAAATCAGCAAAATGTTGTCGCATCACTGACTTCTTCTGTGAATGGTATTTCGCGAGTTCGCATCGCACGCGTCCGTCGCATCGCGTGTCGCATCGCAAAAAAGCTTCTGTGAATCCCGCTTTATAACCCGTGTGTACTTGCGAATTCAAATAAAGGAATACATACATACATGTACATACATACATACATAAAATCAAAATCCGTTCCTCCGCTGAGTCTGCTATGTACATACATACATACATACATACATACATACATACATACATGTACATGTACATACAAAAGGCCTTACTCCGATTCAAACGCCACATGACAAACAAAGGCAAGCTATTGGCATAGGCCTGATTGTTAGTTATCATGCGTTTTTGGTCTGAGGTAGCAGAGCTAAATCCCGTGTATGCTAAACTCACCACCAACGAAGTCGTGCCTGGGGTGGCCGTTGGATCGCTGCCTGTAGCGGATAGCTGCGGACGACAGCAGGTGGACGCGGCGGAGGGAAATCCGAAGCACTTCGGGCAGCAGATGACCAAGTAATCTTCGTACTCCAGCAGCGACTCCGCCGTCTTCGGCGCTCGCTGCTTCTGCTTAGCCATGGATGACATCCCACCAGATGGCGGGAGAGGGAAGTATTTGGCAGCCATTTTGCTAGTTTGGTGGACGCTCCCAGTCTGGGCGGAGCGTCGTCTTTTCTGGTTGCAATGGGCAAAGACGTAGAGACCAGAGACTAAAATGATAAAATCAGCCCTCACTCCACCGTAATGCTGTACGCGGTATCAGCCTGCTTATTTTACGCACCCTCCTTCCTAGCGACCGCGATTGTCGACAGTGCACTGCGGTCCGCTAACGACGAAGCCAACGCCTCTGGAGCCGGTTGTCAGTGCCTTTCTATGATACTACAGTTTTGAAAAGCCAACAGCAAACGAGTTCAACTCAAGCCAAGGTTGATCTTCATTCGAAAGCTAATACAGGTCGGAGAAAGGCAAATACAGTACAAGTAAGTAGTTGTCAAACCATTCCGCAAGGCGGGCTTACCTCGCTAGCTTCTTCCGGAGCACGTGCCTGGCGAATGATGAGCTGAACTGACTTTCCATTGTTCCTGAGTATTATCACATCAGATGTGAGATCGGGGATCCAGTCATCATGGTCATGTCATGTACATAAAAAACAGTGATCATGTAGATCTACTGTCTGTACAATCATGTACTTGTACTGTTGTAGGGAGCACGGAGAGTTGTCCCTACGACTCCGGAGCTCCTCCGAGTACGAGGTGGTATGTCTGATACGATGTAAGTGGTAGTAGCGCTACGTAGCCTGCATAAAGGATACTACAATCTAAATGTACTATTTGACTGTACAGTACTAGTACTAGTGTCAAAACGGGTTTATTCAAACAATACGACATGGAAAGAAGGAAGGACACCAAAGATACAAGGGATGGCACTCGATGATGAAATGAAAATGAAACTGATTTGAAAAGTCTAATCCAAAGAAACTCAAGGCAGATGTAACAAGGTTGTGTGAAAGATTCAACTCAATCCCTAGACGAATGCTTTGAAAGATGTAAAGTGTGCATGAATGATTCACGCTGCAATGAGACTTTGGCACGCCGTCGCCGAGAACAACAAAATAAAAAATTAAATTAATAGAAGTAAAAAGGAAAACAATATGGCAACTTGAACTAGTACCTTATATCATATACATGTACAGTCACTGTAGTACAAAGTACAGTGGTAGCACACACACACACACACATTATACATGTATGTACACACCATTTGACCATTGGACGCCCATCGCCGGAGGCGATGATAGCGATGCTACAACAGAAGCCATAGCAACTTGTGCTGGGATTGCAACAGCTTGCAAGGCTGAAGAATTGACCGCCACCATGCAGCCTGGTCTACACCACACAGCTATGAAGTGGCTTTCTCTGGCCAGTGATCCCTACTTTTTGGTCTTTTAATTATTTTTTCGCGCACACACATCACACACGCACTGGCACACACACACACACATACACACATACACACATACATACATACATACACACACGCACACACACACACACACTCACACACACACACACACACACACACACACACACACACACACACACACACACACATGTTTGTGTAATTATGAGCATGCATACATCATGTACACTGAATTACTTTATTGTTTAGTGTTCTACTAGTAGTACTAGTACTATTAAAGCGAAATGTGTTATTATGATTCTTTATTCCACTCCAAACTGAAGAAAATATTATTATTTATACTTCTTGTATAAAACTCGGATGTTGAGCCAATAATAAATGTAGAAAGGAAAAGAGTTACTTTTTTTTTAAGAGTAACTGTCCACCACTGTTACTTGGTACTACTAGGTACATACAGTCAGAAACAACTAGGCACAAAACTCCTTAACCTTGAACATTCGGAGTTGGAAGGCTGTTGGTTAGCGCTGCGGATATGTGTTGAAGCTAGGTGTCAGGTCGTCGAATGACTCAGTACTCTGTCAGTTATGTGCCTAGTTGTTGCACTTTCTGACGGTATAATATACAGTATCTAGGTAGTTACGATGGTGGAGAGCCTTACTCTTTAACTCGTATCCATTATGTCCTTTTCCTTTCTTGTCCTTTTCCTTTCTACAAATATTAATATACATAATGTATACAGGGAGTTGTACGACTCCTTGTTCTTGTCCTGCCCGGTACGCGAACCCCGTCGAATCTATTTTTATTTTTTATGTATACATGGCCATTGATAACAGAAAATAACACAATGATGAATGAATGAATGTTCGATGATTATCGATAATTTGAAGTATACTGAAGTACATTTCACCGGTTCCCTCGCAAACCCACACTTACATCAGAAACAACCATCGGAGGCATCGATCCATTACGAAGACTGTATTACAAAAAACGTTCTCTAAAACTCCATTGAAGAACCTATAATCAAAAAAGAACAGAAAACGGAGAGCTGGGGACGCACGGACCCGGCCCTGTACCGGACGCGCAGCCAAAGAGGATGACACCGTAGCGTCCCCACGCTTGACTGGCAAAGAAAACAGCACGCGAGCAAAGTTTAAAAGCAAAGAAATGACATAGGATAATGCATGATGTTATCAGTACACACGCAGACATGCTAAAAGGTCAAAAGCGAGTGCCGCATGCAAGAAAACAAGAAAAGAAAAAAACAGCACAAATAAATAATTCAAACAGCGAAGAACTAAAAGGCAGATTTCTACTTACCGGTATCGAAGAACAAGAATGTATTCTAGAGTTCCACGTTCCTAATCATGATGGAAACTGCCGGGGGATGCTGGCACCCACCAGACAGGTGGTTGCTGCCCCTGTCAGAGAGCTAGAACGAAAACTGAAGCAGAGGAGCCACGTCACGGTTGCAAATAGTGACATGGATAAGGTAAAAAAACTATATATTCGAGCAGTGTCCAATTACGACATACTGAGTAATATACAGGTAAAATGAAGACGAACACTAACAAACGGAGAACGTTCCAACAGTATGTCCAGGCCTCGCAGCGGTCCAGGATAGCGCGCTGCAAGGTAGAGTAGATGACCCAGCGTCCTCGTTGGTAGCAACAGTACGACCTAGTCCCAATCACCGGAGAAAATGCCCTGAATTCGATCCCTGGAGTAGGTCAGGGCCTCCAGATTTCCAATCACTTCCCTTCTGATCCTGTGTTGGGTGTAGTCATCAGGTATTCCTGTGATGACGATTGTGATCAAGGTGCGTATCATTTCTCCAGTTATTCCTTGAACACGTGGGAGTGCAGGACCACCTCTTCTCCTCTCCGACTGGATCCTGACATTAGTCTCATTAAAGTGCTGCGCGAGTAAACTGTGCAAGATAATGTCATTGCAGTTGCCGCCTACACATGCCTGCAGATTGCTGTCCGTAAACACCATTACTCGAGCATTCCGCAGATCATCTTCTGTCCATTCTGGACTAGCATGAGCTATATCATCATCTTCGGTCTGTTCTGGACTGGTATGAGCCATACTTGGAGCAGACTTATAGCCAATATGCCTGGACATTTCCTCAGTGGCTACTCTACCCACGTTGGTACTAGGTAGGGCGCTCCTGGCTTGTGACAAAGCAAGTCTTACTTCTGCAGCTGCGGCCAGCTGTGCCGTGCTTCCAAGGTGGATTGATGCTGGTTGCTCTGCACTCTGCTGCAATACAGTTGCTGTTGCTCCCTGCTCTGGTTCTGCTGCTGCTCCACGCACCTGTTCTGACATTGCCATTGCTATTGACAGCCTTGGCTGGAGTGACGCTTCAGGGGTAAATACAATTGCCGATGAAGCTACTGCTACTGCGTTTGCTACTGCTTCTACTGCTGATGCTGCTGCTGTCACTGCTGCCGCTGCTGCTGCCACTGCTTCTGCTGCTGCTGTCACTGCTGCTGCTTCTGCTAGGGTGGACCCTGCTGCTGCGGTCAGCGGTGAATTGATGTCCACTGCCGGTGTAGCGCATTCCATTGCCGGTGCACATGGTTGTCCTGCCGAAGACCTTTGTTCCTCATCCGGCAGGAGATCTGCTGCTGCAGCTTGCATTTGGCACAATGCGAAGCATCTCCTGGTACCGGTTCGTGAAGCCCATTTCGCGGATCACTGAACACAAGACTAGGTACGATTCAGTTTCTCCAGCACAAAGCATTGCAATCAATTTTGAATTGTGTTCCGCCGTGTCCTTTACCTTCCTCAAACACTCCAGTTGGTGAAAGTTGATTAGTCCTTTTTCTTGAACTAGGCGACGAAGTTCCACAGGGTCAACATCTTGTAACCACACGTGAATTCTGGAGACAAACTCCTTCGATTTGTATGGATTGCCTGCCATCTGTAAACCTTGCTTTCCGTCACATTATTTTAGTCTGCAGTCTTTTGGTTACGGGTTCTTGATAATATGTGTAGCTAAAGACAATGCCGATTCCTATGGAAGGGCTGCCCAGGTACTAGTTCGGACAAATTAATTTACTCTTGCAGGACGCGACTGGCGGCACCCGCGGTTCAGCTCTCTGCGCTCTCTGCCCCAGCACGAGTCATCTGCACTCGTAGATTCTCTTCACTGAGCGGTGTTCCAAGCCAAGCTAAGCTAGGCTACGGCGCAAGACTCTAACGGTGCGCTTGATTCACCGAACGAGATTATAACCGTCACCCGGACAGACTGCCGAACTGCCGTCTGCACCTCATATCAGCTCTGCACGCTTTGTTGACTTCGCCTACTTTCCAGCAACCCTAGGAGCATCGGTATCAAAGCGACATGATAACAGTCGCGAGGACCGAAGAGAAAGAAAAAACTTCTCACTGGCACACACCTTGATGGACCTTGAAGTGAACATCTCCATTGCCGACGGCGAGGGGACTATCTGATATGTAGCTTCGCAGTACGGTACTATAGTATCATATTTTATATTTATTACAACATCTCAAGACTCGGTGGAAACACCGGCCAATGTTAAAGAGAGTGGGTGATTGCCAACCACGGCGATAAATAAAAGTAAGGGGAGGGAAAAAGAAAGAGTAGCAAAATGAACAGCAACAACTCCGTAAAGAAAGATAAAATGTCAAATAAAAACATGACTGCATGAGTAGATCTACAATCATGCTACGAAAAGTACAATGTCATGTAGATGTACAGTCAGTAGTACTAGTATAATAATACGGAGTGTTGCCTGATTAGTTTATAGTCTGTATCGGCTATAGCGTACCCTTTTGATTTCCGTGATATTATTATACGATGCATCACTATAATTATGCCATACGATCGATTTTTATTTTTATATTTCGATCGACACATGAAAGGCAAGGAAATACTTCCAGCATGGCGTTTTGACAAATGAGCATGCTAGCTGCATAGACTATTACTAGTTGACAGTGCCCGCATTTCCATAACTGTTATGTGCATGTACATGTATCACTATAAAAATAAGCAACGTGAAGAAAGAAGTTGAAGGCACCACTGTAGCTGTACTTA